TAGTCCAAGTCTAGCCCAGGTCTAGCCCAAGTCTAGCCCAGGTCTAGCCCAAGTCTAGCCCAGGTCTAGTCCAAGTTTAGCCCAGGTCTAGCCCAAGTCTAGCCCAGGTCTAGTCCAAGTTTAGCCCAGGTCTAGCCCAAGTCTAGCCCAGGTCTAGTCCAAGTTTAGCCCAGTCTAGTCCAAGTTTAGCCCAGGTCTAGCCCAAGTTTAGCCCAGGTCTTGCCCAAGTTAGCTCAGGTATAGCCCAGGAATTGTATAGGTGTAGTCCAGGTATAGTCCAACCCAGGGTCCAGATCTAAACTGCACTAGTCCAACAAGGTTCATTTGTTCTTCTGATAATTTATGTTATTAGATTCTTTTTTCAGACCGAGAGTTTGTTTTCACACCGCTGGATTAAAGAGACAATCGAAATACGGAAACCGGGACGAGGGGCTTTTTTACTCTCACACACCTGGAATCCTCGTCCGGAGAAAGTCAAAACTGTCAGGTATGAAAACAAACTCTTGGTCTGGAAAAAAGAACCTAATAACATAAATCTAAACTGCACTATTAACATTTATAAGCAGAATAAAACTGGATATTTTGTTGTTGGTGATAGAAATGATAGAACTTTAAAAAAAAATCACAGTCTTAAAACCGTTCAAAGTGCCATTAATCCTGCAGCTCTGGTTACAACACGAACAGATTCAACCTAAGACTTATGCTTTACACTCTGAACCGCGGGTCAATCCTCCTCAAAGTCAGTGCGGATGTTAAGAGCAGCGGCGCAGACAGGAGCTCACTCATAAATCTATTTTTTCCACTAAAAACACAGGTACTGCCCTCCCTTTTTCCCATCAGCCACTGCAGCCTTAAGGAAAATATGACAAGAGGAAGTGATGCCAGAAAGTCAACAAATGTTAAATGTAGCAGGTCCAGAAGGCAAAGGTTTCACCCAAAGAAGGGCCGTACAAAAAAACAACAGGGCGGGACAATGTGAAACTACAATTAAAATAACTCTCTGTGAAGGAAAGCTGAGCTTTAGTCCAGTTTAAGTCTAGTTTAAGTCCAGTTTAGTCTAGTTAAAGGTTAAATCCAGGTTAAGACCAGGTTAAGGCCAAGTTAAGACAGAGTTAAGACCGAGTTAAAACCAAGTTTAGGTCCAAGTTAAGACCTAGTTAAGGCCGAGTTAAAGCCAAGTTTAAACCAAATTAAGACCAAATTAAGACCGAGTTAAGAGAGAGTTAAGACTGAGTTTGAGCCAAGTTAATGCCAAGTTAAGATCGAGTTCAGACAGAGTTCAGACAGAGTTCAGACAGAGTTAAGACCAAGTTAAAACCATGTTAAGGCCGAGTTAAGGCAAAGTTAAGGCCAAGTTTAAACCAAATTAAGACCAAATTAAGACCGAGTTAAGAGCGAGTTAAGACCGAGTTTGAGCCAAGTTAAGACCAAGTTAAAACCGTGTTAAGGCCGAGTTTGAACAGAGTTTGAGCCAAGTTAAGGCCAATTAAGGCCAAGTTAAGACCAAGTTAAGACCAAGTTAAGACCAAGTTAAGACCAAGTTAAGACCAAGTTAAGGCCGAGTTTAAAGCCAAGTTAAGGCCAAGTTAAGACCAAGTTAAGACCAAGTTAAGACTGAGTTCAGACCGAGTTCAGACCGAGTTAAAATTGTGTTAAGGCCAAGTTAAGACTGAGTTAAGGCCGAGTTAAGGCTGAGTTAAGACCGAGTTAAGACCGAGTTAAGACCGAGTTAAGACAGAGATAAGACAGAGTTGAGGCCAAGTTGAGCCCAAGTTAAAACAAAGTTTAAACCAAGTGAAGAGACCAAGTTAAGACCAATTTAAGGCCGAGTTAAGGCCGAGTTAAGTCCGAGTTAAGTCCGAGTTAAGACCGAGTTAAGACCGAGTTAAGACCGAGTCAAAAACCGAGTTAAGACAGAGTTAAGACAGAGTTAAGACAGAGTTAAGACAGAGTTAAGGCCGAGTCAAGACCGAGTCAAGACAGAGTCAAGACCGAGTCAAGACCGAGTCAAGACAGAGTCAAGACCGAGTCAAGACCGAGTCAAGACAGAGTTAAGGCCGAGTTAAGACCAAGTTTAGTCCAGGTTAGATACAGGTTTAATGTAGCCCTGGTCCTTTAGTTCTTAGTTCACACTACTTAAGCCCTGGGTTAGTCCTGGTTTATCCTTAGTCTCGTTTAGTGAGTCTTGGCTTTTGTCCTGGTTTAGCTCTTGTTGTTAGTCCTGGTTTAGTCCTGTTACAGTCTTGGTACAGTCCCAGAACAGTACCTAAAGACATGTCCAGTGTTATCGTGAAGAGTCAACATATTTCACATTTTTGTTCTCAAATCCTCATTTTTCCATCAGCACAGTTTACCAGAACAGAACACTAATGTGACTAACGACAGAAGGATTTCAGAAATATGTACACGCAACTACGACAGTTTCCAAAACTCAACAAAGAGCGAATTTAATACATGATCATTATCTTGGGTTTAATGAGAGCAAAACCGAGACTGACAAATATTTGTTCTGTGAAAAGCGCCAAACAGAAATGAAAGATTTGCACAATATTAAAAACATAATTCACCACTGGAGATGTAACAATATCCAAATCTCTCAGTACGATATAATTACGATATGCATTTCACAGTACAATAAACATTTTTGCTTTTGAAATTCCCTGACAAGATTTTGGTGTGAATTATTTTCATTATAATCCCAAGAATTCAAGTAAAAAACAAGTTTCTGGGTCAGTCCACCTCAGTTTACCCAATGAGTTAAGCCCTACTTTGTCAAACTTGGAAACTTGGAAACTTGAAACTTGGTGTGGAGATAAATCATAGCCAGAAAAGCCAAAATTTCAAATTTTAGCACGATTAGAGTAATGGTTTCTGAAATTTCGCAATTAAATTTTTTCACTTTTTTGCATGGTCAGCGAATTTCAAATTGTATTTACTCAGCAACTACTGGTCCGATATCAAAAACCAAGTCATCTTTGGAAAGGGGACATCATAAGGAATCCATATATTATTTTTGTATTTGAGTACTTTTGAGATGAATTACCTTTTGACCTATATTTTGACCTTGAAATTGACAATAAGGGACACGCCCGACCTCAATGACGCCAATAGAAAAAAATGTACATGTCTACTACAGCATATAAAAAATCTGGAGGGGTTTTCTTTTTTATTTTCACACAAATTTACCTAGAAGTTGACTTACCCCCATCTTAAGACATGCCAGATTTGGATTCCTTATTATGTTCCCTTTCCAGAGATACCTTGGTTTTTGATATCGGACCAGAAGTTGCTGAGTAAATGCAATTTGAAATTCGGGGACCACACAAAAAAGTGAAAAAATTAAATTGTGATATATGCTTTTTTGGGTGAATTAAGGTGGAATGACCCTTCTTCGTGTTGTTTGCGCTGAAATGAATCATGGGATATGTGTAGTTACCAATGTTTATAAGCTGTTGCTACTATAAAACCATGCATTTAAGCAAAGGAACTTGTGAGTCGATATATTGTGACAGCCCATGATTATTGTGAGACTTTTAACGATACGATATCACGATATTTCGATAATTGTTACATCCCCTATTCACCACACATTATACTTTTGGTGAACCTTAAATAAAATTAGAAAACTGTATTTTTAAAAGAAGAAAGAATGCACATCAGCCAAGTGCAGGTGCAGGACCAACAAAATCAGAGTAACAGGAATAATTAAAAATCCGCACACTGTTTTAAAGCTCCCAGAGTGAAATTTATTGGTGCAACGTTTCGGACTAGTCCTTCGATGACTGCACTCTGATGAAGGACTTGTACTCCGAAACGCTGTGCCAATAAATTTCACGTTGGAAGCTTTAAAACAGTGTGAGGATTTTTAATTAAAACCATATTTTCTGATCTATGTTATAATGTTCCTCATCACAAACAGACCTGGAGTTGTGTTTTGTTTCATTCACACATGTTTAACACAACAAACTCTGCACATTTAGGCTGAGCTATTCTCTCATTTGGATGATTTCAGTCCTGGAACGGGGCTCTATTCACGCTTACGTCACAAACCAGGGAGACGTTTGGAAACATGCGATTACAACTTACGATGTACGGTAGTTCCCGACACTGGGCTCGCCGACCGACTGTGATCAAACCCACTGAAGTAAATGTGATCAGTGGTAAAATGAAGGTTGCATACATATGTGCTGCTTGGAATCATCTTGAATTTGGCGCCTCGTCTCTTCTAATCGCATGTACCCAGTGCGCTCGCAGTTGTGTGTCAGTGGGGTAATTATGAAAACTGAGGTGTGGTTGTAATTGCTGATTAGTTGAACATAACAGAACACTATCATGACATGTAGATGAAGAAAACTGGGCCATTTTCTCTCATTTTTCTTAGATTTTGTCAGACAGAGCCCGTCAGAAGTTGTCATCGCATGTTTCAAAATGTCTTCCTGGTTTGTGACGTAAGTGTGAATAAAACCTATTGTCAGTCTCTACTAAACAGAACTGTATTTTTATTCTATTTAATTAAAACAAGGATGGTGCACAGAAAACAATCTCAGAAAGAAAATATGCTCTGGGCCAGATTTAGCTACAAACTACTTTCGGGGGGCGTGCCGGCGTAAAGGCTAAAGTGGTTCGGAGGGACGTAGTCAAAGTGTGGGGCAATTGTTGTCAAGCCGGCTGACCTAACTATAAAGCGCTGCGGGAAACACTGTCACTGCAATCACGGATGAGTTTCCTTGTGAATATTAAAGAGCAGAGCCTCCGAGTAGCTGCACATGTAGTGGAGGAATGGAAACACACACAAATTGCACAAACTCAATCGTGCACAGCCCTGCACTGCACCAAGTGGTTCAGCACGATTACATGTACCATTACACCCCGAGTTTTGAGAGTTTTTCCAGAATCTGAAAACCACCAACACTATGAATTCAATCCAAGTCACTTTTCCCGTACAACACTAAGTCCTGTAACACTCAGCATCTATGAGTGACACATGAAGCTCCTCTCACCTGGATGAGGCACTTGCTGACGTCGCTGGCGCACAGAGCCTTGTTGCAGCCGTGAGTCAGACTGAACCCGGAGAGGAAGAGGAGGAGGAGGGCAGCGGAGAGAGGGACGAAGAGCTGACGCATCCTGGACCTCTGGACCATGGGACTACTGCAGTCACAAGAAAACAACAAATCAGAACATAGTACAACGATTAAATACATAAAAACACGTTATGTTGTTTTACAGATTCTACAAAACTAGGATATCAAAGTAAAGCTTCACTATGTAACTTTTCTAGTCCAAGTGTAGTCTAGGTTTTTTTCCAGGTTTTTCTCCAGCTGTAGTCCAGCTGTAGTCCAGCTGTAGTCCAGCTGTAGTCCAGCTGTAGTCCAGCTGTAGTCCAGCTGTAGTCCACATTTTTTTCCAGGTTTTTCTCCAGGTTTTTCTCCAGCTGTAGTCCAGCGGTAGTCCAGCTGTAGTCCAGCGGTAGTCTAGGTTTTTCTCCAGGTTTTTCTCCAGGTGTAGTCCAGGTGTAGTCCAGGTTTTTCTCCAGGTGTAGTCCAGGTGTAGTCCAGTTTTTTCTCCAGGTGTAGTCCAGATGTAGTCCAGGTTTTTCTCCAGGTGTAATTCAGATGTAGACCAGGTTTTTCTCCAGGTGTAGACCAGGTGTAGTTCAGATGTAGCCCATGTTTTTCTCCAGGTGTAGTCCAGATGTAGCCCATGTTTTTCTCCAGGTGTAGTCCAGATGTAGTCCAGATGTAGTCCAGGTTTTTCTCCAGGTGTAGTCCAGATGTAGTCCAGGTTTTTCTCCAGGTGTAGTCCAGATGTAGTCCGGGTTTTTCTCCGGGTTTTTCTCCAGGTGTAGTCCAGATGTAGTCCAGGTTTTTCTCCAGGTGTAGTCCAGATGTAGTCCAGGTTTTTCTCCAGGTGTAGTCCAGGTGTAGTCCAGATGTAGTCCAGGTTTTTCTGAAGGTGTAGTCCAGATGTAGTCCAGGTTTTTCTCCAGGTGTAGTCCAGGTGTAGTCCAGGTTTTTCTCCAGGTGTAGTCCAGGTTTTTCTCCAGGTGTAGTCCAGGTTTTTCTCCAGGTGTAGTCCAGGTTTTTCTCCAGGTGTAGTCCAGGTTTTTCTCCAGGTGTAGTCCAGGTTTTTCTCCAGGTGTAGTCCAGGTGTAGTAAAGGTGTAGACCAGGTGTTGTCCAGGTGTAGTCCAGGTTTTTCTCCAGGTGTAGTCCAGGTGTAGTCCAGGTGTAGTCCAGGTGTAGACCAGGTGTAGACCAGGTGTAGACCAGGTGTAGACCAGGTGTAGTCCAGTTTTTTCTCCAGATGTAGTCCAAGAAAATAGCCCTTTAATTTTTACTGTCTGAAAACATATGAACTAAATAGTCTTACACATCGTCTGTAGTGAGAACTGAACTTTTAGTCTTTGGTGGAGGAGACTCAGCTCACATAAAATCCAAATTTTTCAGGTTATTTTAGAGCTTTTAAAACACCTGTAACTAAAAATATTCAATATATATTTTTATCTCTACGGAAACAAGCAGGTCCAGAAAAGTTGCATAGTGCAGTTTTAATTCTACGTGAAGAAAATCACAGAGGCTACAGAGATGCCCACAATTGTGAACTTTGAAGAAAAAGAGGAAAACAATTGCACTTTTCAGAGTACCTTTATATCAGCATACTTTTACTCCTGCTTGAGTAATATTTTTATTGAAGTAACAGTACTCTTACTTGAGTAAAAGTTGTAGTTCCTCTTTCCACTCTGAGTAAGTCTGAAGTGACAAACGCTTCATGTCGACAATATGAAATGATTTGAACATTTGTGTTTCTTGCAGCTCCTTCAGATATAATTTAGTTTGGCAAATTTTGTGTCCATCCTTTGAAAATACCAGATTTTTAATAGCGATGTAACAATATCCAAACCTCTCGATACGATATTTTCACGATATACATCTCATGGAATGATATTTATTGCGATATTTTGTGGAGACTAACAAAACTTTTTCCTCTTAAAATACCTTGACAAGACTTAATCCAAAGACTTAAAAGTGCTTAGAACTGTTATTTCTTCATGTAGTTTGCGCCAAAACAGAGCAAAGGATCATGGTCTATGTAGTTCCCTCTGCTTTTTTAGCTATTGCTGCATCAAAATTCTTAATTTAAGCAAAGACACTTGTAAATCGATATATTGTGATACTCCACGATGTTATTGTGAGAACTTTGACAATATGACATCACAATGTTTTGTTGCGATGTTTAAGGTTTTGTTCTTCCAGTTACATTCTCTTCAAATTATAAATCTGATGTTAGATGTTTCTCGACAGTTCTCTTTAAGTTATATTATTTTGAAGTAGCATTGCTCTTACCTGAGTACAGTTTTGGATACTCTACGCACCTTTGTGTACCATCCACTCAAGTCCATTAAATAAACCTTATTGCAGAGTATTAAAAGGGCCGTATTACACAATTTCTGATCTATGTTCAAATATTTCCTCATCAAAAACAGACCTGGAGTTTTGTTTTGTTACATTCACACGTTTAACGCACAAATCCTGCATATTAAAGTTGAGTTCTTCTCTCAAACAGAAAACACTCTGATCCAACTTGTGATGTCATGTGGTAATACAGGAAGGAAGTGCTCCACTGCGTTTTTAAACTCCATACACCTTCACTAGAATCATTTGGATCGTTTCAGCCCTGGAATTTCTATTAAAAAGGTAAAAGGAAGCTGTTGAAAACTACTGCTTCATGACATCACAAGTTGGGAACAGAGCATTTTGAGCTTTGGACATGACAAACTAATAATAAAGAATGACTCAAACATGTGTGAATGAAACAAAACACAACTCCAGGTAAGATTTTGAAGAGATAACAACATTATAACATGACTTAAAGCTCACAAAGATCTTTAAAAACTGCATAAAACTATGGAAATTCACTTCAATTATCACATAGTAAACACAAATGACTACTTTTTCCCAGCTTCACTGTAAAGGTTAAATTAAAATCTTGCTTAAAATCTTATTCCACAACAATTGCCAAACTTTTCTTGAATAACTACAGCCCCTGCTCGTTCATAATGCTTAAAAATGAAAATCTCTTAAAGTAAAAGTAACGGGGAGTCCAACAGAGGACCTGACTGGCACAAGCCTTAACATGTAAACAGCACTTTTCAAAAGGCGTCACGTTTCATTCAATGCCAAGTCATTGTGCCCTAACATCGCTCACATCTGGACACATCAGGATTCCCAAAACTACTTTTAAAACGACCTCCGTGCGTAATTCACGTAAAAACCCTGTCTGTCGCTTTTTCTTTGCGCGTTACGTTGGTTAACTTTTCCTTTTTCCCCTTCACCAACCACAAAAAAACGTGAAGAGAGAGAACACTCGCTCCCAAACTCCAGAACGTGCTCTTTTTTTTTTTTTCCACCTTTGCGTCTTTTAAGCTAGCGCCAAACTTTACTCCGGTGCGTAACCCGGGCGAAAGCGGTGCGTTTGTGCGTAAAAGTGTTGTGAAAACTTACCAGCGCGCTCGGTAAAAGTGTAATTCCTTTCTTTTGGCCGCGGATGAGCCTTGTTTTGTCCTTGGAGATCTCCAGGATGGTTGAGTGTTGAGTGCGAGGCGGCTGCTGTGGCCAGAGGGCGTCGTAGTGCGCACAAAGCAGCAGGAGCACGGGCGCCTTAAAGAGATAGACCCGGGATTTACCAAAGAAAGAAGGTGGATCTACTCTTATGGACCTGCTCGTTTCATTTTCTTGACTAACTTGAATAACTAAGAATTTGTACTTTTCTGACAGGCTGCTAATACTTCAGTAATAACTTTAATGAAGTAACAGTAGATCTTGAGTAAAAGTTGTGGTTCTCTAGTGCACAAATAGAGGTGAGTTACATTTATGTCACTTTTTGAAGAAATTGTGCTTTTCGGAGTACTTTTATATCAGCATACTTTTACTCCTACTTGAGTAATATTTTAATTGAAGTAACAGTACTCTTACTTGAGTAAAAGTTGTGGTTCCTTTTCCCACTGTAAGTCTAAAGTGACAAAAGCTTTATGTGAACACTTGTATTTCTTCAGTATTGATTTAGTTTGCTTTTTTTTGTATACATTCATTGAAAACACAACATTTTGTGAATAATTTAATTTGATTTAATTTAATTTAATTTCATAGTTTGTCTTTCAAATTACATTAACTTCAAATTATAAATCAGATCTTACGTCTTTACTCTTTCGTCAATCCATCCATCCATTTTCTTCCGATTTATTCATGGCCAGGTCGCTGGGGCAGCAGTCTAAGCAGGGACTCCCAGACTTCCTTCACCCCGGACACTTCCTCCAGCTCCTCTGGGGCGACCCCGAGGCGTTCCCAGGCCAGTCCCTCCAGTGTGTCCTGGGTCTTCTCCGGGGCCTCCTCCCGGTGGGACATGCCCGAGCCACCTCAGCTGCTCCTCTCAACGTGGAGGAGCAGCGGCTCTACTCCGAGCTCCTCCCGTGTGACTGAGCTCCTCACCCTATTTCTAAGGGAGCGCCCAGCCACCCTGCAGAGGAAACTCATTTCAGCCGCTTGTATCCACGATCTCGTTCTTTTAGACATTACCCAAAGCTCATGACCATAGGTGAGAGTAGGAACCAAGATTGACCGGTAAATCAAGAGCTTCGCCTTTTGACTCAGCTCCCTGTTCACCGCAACAGTCCGATACAGCAAACACATCACTGCCGATGCTGCATCAATCCGCCTGTCAATCTCACGCTCTGTCCTCCCCTCACTCCTCCACAGGGGAGGAGTTGAAGTGTCACTTGAGTAGTACTTCTCTCAAATATGTTTTTACTGTAACTTCCCCGATTTCTACTTGATCATTTTGAAGTAACAATCCTCTTACTTGAGTACAGATGTTGGCTTCTCTATCACCGCTGCAACTTTTCTGGTGAAGGGTTTGCCACACTGTTTGTCTCCATGGAGATGGTATTGCTTTGCCTGGAATGTTCCACAGCATTGCATTATACTTGCTTTTCTCCATGAAGACAAACAGCACGGTGACGCCACCAGGTCAAGTTCCTGAACACATCTGTGGAGACGTGACCCAGCTCACCGGAAGAATGCACGCTCCCAAGGTAACTAACAAACAGAAGTCACACATGTTGAACACATAAAGCTCTGCAGATTTAGGTTCTTCTCTCAAACAGAAAACGCTCTGTTCAACTTTGTGATGTCATGTGGTAATACAGGAAGTGCTCCACTGTGTTTCTAAACTCCACAAACCTTCACCAGAATCATTTGGATGATTTCAGCCCTGGAATTTCTTATTTCTTCTGAACAAAAAGTGAAATGTAGCTGTTAACTTGAAAACTACAGCTTCATGGCATCACAATTTGTAACAGAGCATTTTGACCCATGGAGATGTAAACACACAAATAAACCAAGATTATGACGTGTGAATGAAGCAAAACACAACTCCAGGTCTGTTTCTGATGAGGGAACAACATCCTAACATGAATAAAAGCTCAATTTTGTGGAATATAGGATCTTTAAGCAAATAAAACCTTGATAAAAGTTGGCACCTATTTATAATTTTTTCCCAATTACATAATCTACTTTAGCAAAATGATGAGTTTGGTCTTGTAGCTCATTCCTTTCTTTATTTGGCTTCTACGTTCAGATGTTTTTTTTCTCTTAGGTTCACCCAAGATTGTAGAGAGTGTGTTTGAAATCACCCGGGCAACTGCAGAGGATAAATCACACAGCTGTCTCTAGTCTATGGCCTCTTTTAAAGGTCCACTCTGGAACTTTTCTAGTGGGGAATCTGTCTCCATGTTATTTGATTTGCTTGGAATGTTCCACTAAAGACTATTATTTGTATCTATTTTACATTTTATTCAATCACAGACAAGCATTTTCACTGTGACTGGCTCGCTTACCTAAAGATTTTGCCCGTAACTTGGCCTGGTGACATCTTTTTGTCTTGTTTTTAATGCCATATTGTGGAATTTTCTAGACAAAGCAGTAACATATTCTCAAGACGACAGAGGTTGAGTAACTTTTTAAAGAAACTGTACTTTTCAGAGTACTTTTCTTGCAGCACTTGTACACCTTTGTGCACCACTTCCTTCAGACGGGATTTAGTTTGTCTCATTTTTGTGTCTGTCCTTTAAAAAGACCAGATTTTCTTATTGTTATTAATGTTTTGTCCTTAAAATTAATCTACATTCACTTCAAACAGGCCACAAATCAAATATTTCATATACTCACTCTAACAATTACTCTTACTTGTGTAGTAGTTTGCCTAAATACTTTTTTTTACTCTTATTTGAGTAATTTCTTTGACCACTACTTTGTATTTCTACTTGAGTATTAAGTACTCTTACTCGAGAAAAATTACATAGTGCAGCTTTAAAACTTGCAGGATAAACACATAACACATAAACTTGCACATAAACACACACTTGCGCATAAAAAAGTACAGATACCAAAGCAAAAAATAAATAAAAAACTCAGGTAAAAGTAAAAGTATCACATGATAAAATTCTACTTAGATAAAAACTAAAATGTGGCTGTTTGCTGCAGGTGTTCCAGTCAGTGGGAGCAGGTCGGCGACGCTCTTGAAAAAAGGATCAAAACTTTAAACACAACAGAATCCAGACACTCCAAAGAAATAAAAAATCACACGAGGAAAAGTATAGTTAAAAGACCTTTATTAAGATGGACAAAGCTTCTTACTTCTCTGGAGTGTCTGGATTCTGTTGTGTTTAAAGTATTAAAATATGTGTTTAAAAATGTACATAAAGAGTAAAAAGTAAAAGTATTTTGAGCTAAAGTTTGAGATCTAATAAAGCTTCAAATGTAGTGACTTTGATACAGATTTGCGCTGAATTTTGTTCCACAGAAACAACTGATTTTTTTTCGAGCTGTTTCTAATTTTTGTACATTTGTGTTTGCTCAAACTATGACCTTGCCAAAAAATAAACCTTCAGCCTTTTCAGCAGGTCTCACATAATAATAAAAAACACTTTTACTTTTCACTCCTGTTCAGAAATGTAAGTAAATCCTTTAATAAATCCTGTTCATGTTGGGAGGGGCTGATATGGGCCTTGTACTTTTAATTTTTATGTATTTGTTTTGGAAAAGTATAAGCAATTTACATTCTTTTACAACAGAACAGAGTATTATCTATATGACATTTATATTTTATTTTTATAATTAATATATTTGTTCTCTTTACTATGATATTATATTGTGATGTGTGAGCTCCTGTGTCCAAATAATTTCCCTTGTGGATCAATAAAGTAGCAATAACAGATTTTTTTTTTAAATTTGTGTATTTGTGTTTGCTCAGACTATGACCTTGATAAAAAAAATAAATAAAAAAAACCTTCAGCCTTTTCAGCAGGTCTCACACAACAATTCAAATATTTTTACTTTTCACTCTTGTTCAGAAAAGTGGTGAAGTAGAAAGTACAGATAACTGCTCTCAAATGGGTAGTGAAGTAAAAGTAAAAAGGTATCCAATTAAAAATGTAAGAAAAGTCCAAATTTTACTTTTTATTTTCACTTTTGTTACGTTCCTCCACTGCTGTCACTACATGGGCATTAAATTCATCCATGGAGGTTACAGATTACGCATTACGCACGCTCTCTTTGGGGGTTATTTAAAGTTTAAGGGCTCCACAAACTTTTATTTATTGAGTTTATTTTATGCCGAGGGTCCAGCGCTGTCCGAGGCGCTGTGAGGTGAGGAGGAGCCGGTGAGGGGCCGGTGTGGGGCCGTGCGTCTGCCCCGGGGCCCCGCGGCGCGCACAGGAGACGCTCGTTTGTTAAAGTCCGTCTGAAGAGCTGCGCGCGCCACAGGGGTCTCCGGGGGCGCGAGGTGTGCGCGTGCTGTCCGGACACTTCAAAGGAACCGCTTCCCGCCTCCGGGGCACAGACGGACAGGAGCTCGAGACAATACACACGTACGTCTGCTGCGTGACCCCGCTGACGTGCAGGTTACGTTACTGACGTCACAGAGCGTTTAGCGCGAGACAGGACCTTTAATAAATCCTTATTTTCCATTACTGCTAATTGAAATAAATCATTATTTTCCATCGATTCATCTCTTATCCTGCAAAAAAGCCATTTCAATAACCAACATATACAAAGAATTAATACACAAATCAGTTTAGTTTCCTTTATTAGGTCTGATAAACAGTGATTTATTTAAATGTATATTTCCATTCTTTTTTCCACATTGTTATGAATGATTGTGAATGTCTGCTTTATGTGTTTATACTGTATATATTATATATATGTATCATAAATTAATAAAAATAAAACATAAAAAAAATACCTGTAATAAATAATAATGTTTCGAGGGACTGATAGGACCCTTGTACTTTTTTAAATGTATTTATTTTGGGAAAGTAAGCAATTTACATTATTTTACAGTGGAACAGAGTATTCTCCATATGACATTTATATTTATTTTATTATTCATAATTTTTACCATTTATATTTTTTCTCTTTGTTATTATATTATATTGTGATGTGTGAGCTAGTGAGTCCAAATAATTTCCCTTGTGGATCAGTAAACTTTGTCTAAATCTAAGACATTAATGCAATCGTAGAAATAACAATAACAAAAAATTTGCCCAAAAAGGAGAAGGAGGAAGAAAACTTATTTAATCCCACCCCCTCTTCTAATTTAACATAATGATATTTCTTTTGTATTCTACAGACATTTTACATTAGACCATATGAACTATTTAGAAGTGAGGACAAAGGTCACTGTTATAGCTTCATCAAACTTCAATAAAACAAAAGGATGCCAACAATGGTAAGGAAGGAACTTTTTCTTAATTATGTTCTGTTTGTCCAACTTCTGATAAAAGAGAACTCTCAACCCCATCTGCAACCCGCTTATTTTCACTCAAATCAACTATTCTGAAAAGAATTTGGACCAATTTGTCGGCCTTCTCCAAACATACAAATAAAAATAACCCCCAAACTCACAAAAATGTAATAGGACTTTTATTTGAATTCCGCCTGGATTACTGTCTCTTCTTTCTAAAACCTAAATTCCCCTGCAATGACCCAAAACCAGAGACTACAACCACTTAAATCATGCAGTAACATTTATTCCTATAGGCTGATGCACACCAGCTATCGGCTGATACACAAGGCAAACTACTTCACATAAATAATTTTAGGGTGACCAGGCGTCCCTGTTTACCCGGGACAGTCCCAGTTTTGAGCCCTGTGTCCCCTGTCCCAGAAGATTTATCCAAAGCCACTGATTTGTCCCAGTTTTATACAAGAAATGTCCCAGATGTTCCTATTTTGGACACATATGATCCCTGCCAACAGTAAAAAGAATCATGAATTGTAATTTGTTTTAAGTAAAATACAGAAAAGCTGCTTAAAAATGACCAAAAACACAAAGAAAATGTGACTATATTGACTCACATGTTAATCTTGAATGGTCTCTGCTTAACAATTTTCCTTAATTACTCACTTGATTCACAATTTTATTATTACCAAAACACTAAAACACTAAAAAATTAGAATGTCCAAGTTTTTTATTTAGTGACTCTGTTCACCCTACATAAATAGCCTATAAAAAACAATTTCCTCGATTATCTGTAGGTTTTATGAGCGTTTTGAACTGAGTAAAGTTGCTAACAGCGCCCTCTACTGTACACCATATGAACTACAAGTGTGTGAATGTGCAGTAGCCCTTTGCTTATTAAAAACACATTTAGTTCTTCTGACCATAGAGGACAATATTTTTTCCGAACTGTATCCTCAAGGACGACATTATCACACAATTGCGTCTCTGTTTAGTCAACATTTGGAACTTGTTAAATCATGTTTTAAAAAGCTGCACTAGTGTTTCTAAAAAGGATAAAATAATGATGGATGATGTGACTAAGGAAAATGTTTAAAGTGAATGAAATCCCAAGTGAGATATTGTAACACACATATGGCTTATTGATTGATTAATGACTTGGTTTGGTTTTTGGGCTGGGGAACGATTATTAAAGAAATGTTTCACCTTTTAATCTGTGAAAGGAGCAGGGTTTATAACATTTATCTTTTTCCTCTTCCTCTTGTTCATGCAGCAAAGACAAGACAAATAATGGTAGAAATATGAATTTATGTTAATTGTCAGATTTGTTGTTGTTGTTCTCTTTAAATTGATGCCAACAAAATAATAGCATACACAATAAAAAGAAAGAAAAAACAATAAAACTAAAATAAAAAAAAATAGATAATTATACTTTTATCAATTAGATTTGAGATTTTCATAAAATACCTTCTTAAAAATCTGATTTTAAAACTAGAATATAAAATAAGTATCAAAGTATCATAAATCAGATTGATATATTAAAATCAGTATTGAAACTAAACTGATTTGAACTGACATCGATACTTAAAAAGCCACATTCACAGGACAAAAATGATCTTAAGCAGCATCAGAACAAGTATAAGAGCACAGAGACTAGTATACGCCCATTACACAGATATAAAACCACAAAGTACTATTATTTCATGTTAAAAATCACATTCTATTGTCTAAATAATATGTTTATTATTATGGTATTGGAATCAATATTAAGTATCGAGTCTATTCTCTAGTATCGAAATAGAGTTTGAAATTCTGACATTATTCTCTCCACATTTTTAAACAAACACAAGAGTCTTGATTTTCATTTCACAACAAATAAAATTTATTCAATTCTATATTACAGATATGTACAGGTCATGTAAATATTAAAATAGACATTTTTAGAACTATCGTTCAAAAGGCATTATGTTGAAAAAATAGGTTTTGTTGTGATCTCACATTGAAACTGTAAAAGTATGTCTTGTTTTTTTTGTTTTTTTTTAATTTTATTTTGAAGCCACAACAGACTTTAATGTGCGCGAGACACGTGGACAACATGCACTGCAAAAAAACAACATCTACACAAGTTAGAAATGACAGAAATTTCAGATCTTCGTGTTTATAGGAGTGGTGTTTGATAGTGTTATTCCCAAAGTCAAGTAGATAAACATTTAAATAACTCAAGAATTGCTTTTATTTCTTTTTTTTTAGACATTATAAAACCAATATCTAAACTAAAGACTGATTCAAGCTTATGTAATTAAACCATTTCATTTGCTGTTGTACGCAGAACTAAATTTCTCTTCAGTCAAATAATGTAACTTAATAAAGCACCTTTAGGTAAATATACAACAACACTAAAGGGTTTTGTTCTTCTTCCAATGTGGGTAAAAGAACTGAAATAAGAAAGTATTTCCAACCCACTGAGGTCCTTTAAGTAAAACTATTTTGAAACCTGCTACAGTTTTATAATTAGTCAACTCATCTACAGGGTTCCCATTCTTTTTCACTGACAAAACTTCAAAATTTTTTCATGACCTAAAGTGAATTTTCCATGACTTTACAGCACCTACAGGTTTAGAACTGATCAGACTTTTAGGGCTAAATATGAAACGTTAACTTTCCACTCACTTTATGGTTTGGTATTATAGTTTTTTAACAATCAAAATACTGTCAGTGCATTTATTGTCGTCTCTTTTAAACAAAACGTTCGGAAATAATCATAACAGCCAATGAGAACTTAACAGAACACTGTAGTTGCGTGAAAGATACTAAAATTCAATGACTTTCCCAGGATTTCCATGACTGTGGGAACCCCGAATCTATAATCTGCAAAATAAAAATTCACTTGTCAAAACGGCTCACATTAAGTTGAAAGGTCCGTAATATTTATTATGCAGTACTGAGCTTTTAGTCATGTTATAATGCAGTTACATCTTAAAAAAAAACATACCTGGAGTTGGCTGGAGTGTTTCATTCACACATGTTTGAGTAATCCTGTACCTCTCAAGCTCGAAAACGCTCTGCTCCACCTTGTGATGTCACGGCAAGGTAGTGGTAGTTTTCAAGTTAACAGCTACCGTTACCACCTTGTTTTTAGTGGAGATTTGGAAATTCCAAGGCTGAAATTACCCAAATGATTCTAGTGAAAGTGTATGGAGTTTAAAAATACAGTGGTGCCCTTCCTGCATCACCACATGACATCACAAGGTGGACCAGAGTTTTTTGTTTGTTTGTTTGAGAGAAGAACTTGGCCTAAATATGCAGGATTTGTGAGTTAAATGAGTGAATGAAACAACTGCAGGTACGTTTTTTTGATAAAGAAAAAACATTATAACACAAATATTTAAAAAAAAAACTACGTAATTTGGGCTTTTTTAGATTTTAAACTCAAGTCATTTCAACTCGCGTAGATGTCGTTTTTTTGCAGTGGGAGGAGTGAAACACGGGGGGTAAGAAGCCGAAATAGCTCACGATAAATTCACGTAAGAACAAATAGTCAAAATGCATGCACAGCCTTAAACCTCCGAAAACTTTGAAAACATTTGATCAGCTGTGTATGAACGCTAAACGAAAATTGCCCAAAAACACATGCTTAAAATTCAACAACATTAACATTAACAGCACGGACGTAGGACACCTGATATAAAAACAACTTTGGTCCATTAAAACGAGACGGAACGAGTTTACAATCAAAATATCTATTATTTTGTACAGGTTTAAAACAATAATTACATGGCTATTTACAAATGCACAATTCGTATGTATAAAATAAGTTAAAAAATTAAGAGCACAAGTCTGTACACGACGTATGAACAACGTTTTTTTGAAATATTCAGAGTTTGTGTTGACAAAGAGAAGCACTTGGGGTCTGCGTCGGGGATCTCGTAACGTGTGGTCTCTTTGCGGTCTTACTTCTACAGACCGGACCGTGGACTTTCCAGGATCCTGGGCTTGGGATCGCGGTCTAGTCTGGGTTTAGACCTGGTTTAGAGTCTTAAGTGCCTGGATGTAAGTGCTTCATGTTTCACGGTTTCTCAAATGCACAGAATCTTGCACTAGAAAGACAAAGAAAAATAAATAATTAGTCAAATTAAGTAATAACTCCACACTCATGTTGATTATGTTAAGAAAATAAAACCCCACTAATCCAAAACTGTCTGATTGGATAAAACAGGGTATCCCCACGTTTAACTTCCCCAAATTTAAGACTTTTTAAAGACCTTTTTAAAGACCACTTACATGAAAATTAAGAACCAACATCGCACCCATTATGCGGGCGAAAAAACATCAGATCCAATTCTAATAATGACCAACCAACTACTATATCTAGAATCTAAGGCTTTAATTAAGGAACATTAAATTTAAGACCTTTTTAAGACTTTTAAGACCCTGTGGCTACCCTGTAAAATGTTAATGTGAGTTGCATCCTTGTGGTTGTACGACGCAGGTTGGACTTTTTAATTACATCATCTCATGTTTAAAAGAATTTATAGCTGTTTAACGCTCATAAGGTTTATAACTGTGACAGAAAGTGTGAGAGGATGTGGTAAGAAACTCATAAAACTATAATAAAATCTGGAAGGTGAACCCAAGATGGCGCCAAAACCTGTTCAATCAGCTGAACGGACACGTCACAGCAACATCATGTGAATAGGAAGACCGGTCGTGAGCAGTCGAAACTGTCAGGTATGAAAACAAACTCTTGGTCTGAAAAATGAATCTGATAACATAAAATATCAAAAGACCAAATGAATCTCATTGGACTATGGATTCGTGTTGTTTTTCAGTGGCCTGTGCTCATTGGCGCATGGGAACAAAAATAAATTCTCTCTGCTCCTCTGCTTGTCTGCTAGAGCGAAGCTAGAGCAGGCTCAGAGCAGGCAAGGCCAAGTCTTACAAAGCTAAATTTTAGGCGCTTTGAAGATTTAAATATTTTAAAAAGCTTATATTGTAAAACTAGAAAAGAATTCCTACAAAAAGACCTCTGTGAAAACTGTCGATGCCCTGTCAGCCCAAAAAAATGCATTGTGCTTCTACGGGAGAATTCTTTTTGGGCCCAAGCTCTCAGAAGCTGCAGTACCTGGAGCGGCCACTAGTCTGTGTCGAGCTGGGCCACAGGGGGAATGTCTTATCCAGATTTTATTATAGATCCATGAAGAAACTACAAAAGGCTAAGATGGCGTTAATGGTGTCTGGCAGTTAGAGATACACACCGCTGTTCCCATGTTAGAACAGATTACTCATGATTTACATATTTGGTATAATCTGTTTAGGAAGGTAAGGAAGGTAGAAATCAGCGGTGTGTCTTTCTGAACCCAGAATCGACATCATTTGACAATCCCGTAAACAAGAAGATAAACCCATGAGGTGTTTTTCAAATGAAATGTGAAGTCATCGTCCCAGATGGGGGGGGCAGGGCATTCCCCTTGGATCTTAACTCATAAATGTTCTTCAAATGCCTCTTCGGGATAAATAAAGTAATGCTGATAGATGGATTGTTTAAAAAAAGGCAAATAGAAAAGTCACAGATGTTGAACCCAGTCCGTTAATTGCTTCACTTCACATTGAACTTTCTGACTTTTGTCTAACGTGTCCAGTGATTACACAAACTGAATGATAAACCCTAGAGAGTGTGACTGTTGTGTCGTCGTCGTGTTGTAGTGGTTTAGGGTTAGTTGTACCTTCAGATGGGCGTCAGGTCGAAGTCGTCGTTCACCTCCACCAGGGGGATGTAGAACTCTGGGATCTCAAAGATGCTGGTGGACTTGTACGTGGCCGGGTCCAGCTCCTGCAGTTTGAGCTGCCACTCCAGTCTCTGCACGGCGTTTAGAGCAGCCGCCTCGTGCTGCTGCCGCATCAAGAGACACGTCTGACACACACACATAAAAGAGAGATGAGCCAGGAGGGAAAAGGACCTGCCATTTGGATTATCAACATTATATTTTGTATACCTAACTCTGTATAATTTCACATGCTTTAGTGTTTTCAAACTTATTTCTTTATCATCTTATTACACAAAGAAAATTGGTGTCTTCTGTAACTCTGATGTTGAACCATAAAAAAAAAACTGTCTGGGATTGCTCTCATCCAACAAAATTAAGTAAAAAATGTCTAGGCAACATCACTCAATCTCATTTTTGTTTCATAATTGGTTACTACATTATAGAAGGAATAAAAGGTACAAGTTCTTCACTAAAGGTTAGGGAGGTAACAATAATCAAAATATCATGATATCGTATAAAAGTCTCACAATAATATCGCGGACTGTCACAATATACTGACTTACAAGTTCCTTTGCTAAAATGCATGGTTTTATAGTAGCAACAGCTAATAAACATAGAGAAGAACATATCCCATGATTCATTTCAGCGCAGACAACAAGAAATTATATGTTTTTACTTGAATTCTTGGGATCATGACGGAAATAATTCACACCAAATTCACACCAAAATCTTGTCAAGGTGTTTTAAAAGCAAAAAAGCGTCCTATCTACAATTATCTCAGCCTCTCCAAAATATCGTAATAAATATCGTACCGAGAGAGTTGGATATCGTTATATCCCTACTAAAGGTTCATCAGTGTAATAAGTTCTTCACTGTAGGTTTTTCAAGGTCTGCAAGTGCTAAAATGTTTATACTGTATTTTCGGATTATAAGGCGCATTAAGTGAAACAAACGGACGACACTTTATTTCCTACAAGGAGGACTCAAATATACATTGAGTAATAATGTGTTTAATGCAGCTTTGCACACATTTGTTTACGTTTTACAGAAACGAAACTTAAAACCACATGGGTAATTTGCATAAACTATAAGTGATAACAAAAAAAAAAAAAAAAACAGCTCGCTCCTTGTGCCCTGATGCAGAACACGACTCAGCGGAATACATGTGAAAATCAGTTCAAGGTCAGAAAGCACAACCAGAATTAATACATAAGGTGCACTGTCGATTTTTCAGAAAATTAAGGAATTTTAAGTGTGCCTTATAGTCCGAAAAATATGGTAATACAAAGTAAGTCTGAGCTATATTAAAAAGTTGAGCTGATGGAATAAAGTTGTGTGTATAATATTGATGTGTTACCTTGAGTTTATCAAACTTGTCGTCTACGTCCTGGAGCCACGACATAAACTGCCGAGCATTGAAGCGGTCTCTCACGGACGTCTTTCCGTCGTCAGTCTGAAGGGGAAGAAAAACACAACATTTTATCCTTTGATTCTGCGCGTTATTAGTTTCAATAATGCTGTTTAATAAAGTTACTGACATTTGCACAAACCTGGACGTCTTGGGGCATGTTGTAAACTTCAGCGTCCAACAGAACCGTGCAGGCGCTGAAAGGAAGCGTCTGATTGGCCAAGGTCCGTGCCGCTCGGTAGTGGACTCTGAGGACTTCCTGTTCATTTGAAACGATCAGCTTTTCCTGCAAAAGAAGAAAAGGACATGCGTCAAACAGTCATAAAAACAGTAACATCTACCATTTTACATTATAGCGATTTTTTATGTAAAATCAGCAGTAATTTTAATCTCTTTTACCCTTTCAATGCTGTGTTGAAGTCGTAGTTTCATTCTGACCACCTCCTGCTGTTTGAACATCTCTTTCAGCTGTTCAGGTAACGACGGAGGCGGAGTTATCTGCAGACAGACAAAAGGGAAATATTTATTGTATGTCTTTCCCCCCCTTTTAAAGTATAAGCCCCTTGTTTGTTTAGACACAAACAGAGCATGTGTTTCTCTGTTCAGCTGTCAATCACGCCCTCTGGAATCAGGCAGAGGGGATGTGGTTCCAGACCCACTTGTCTCGGTAAAGTTTTGTCAAAGTGTGTGGGTGTGGGTTCGGGCTGGACAAGAAGAATTTAGTCATTTGCAGTAGTTTGGCAATTAGAAGTTCTGCATTCTTTTGGAGAAGCAGAAAAAGTCTTAGAGTGATTCGCCAATAACTTGAAGATTATTATTTAAGACAGCGATGTCCAAACTTTTTTCATCAAAGCCCACGTATCTAAACACAGATGGAGCAGAGGGCTGATCGACGGCCGTAGATTGGTGCTTAATACAGTGAATAATTGAAATATGTGCATGTTTAACACGTGAGAATGAGCTATCAATTTTTATTCTTGCAAAGATCCTTAAAACCACACACGAAATATTAGCTTTATCAAGGTGGATTTTCAAAAAACACATTTTTAGTTGATGCAAGGTCATTTGGGCCAATTCACCTGGACGCCTGAGGGCAAAAAAAAAATGTGTCTGAGGGTTGCATTTGTTCCACGGGCCATAGTTTGGACACGCCTGATTTAAGAGAAAACTGCTAAAAAAACTATGACAAGAATTGGCCTAAGCCTCTGGTGGTACACAGTGTAATAATGTTTTTATTCATAGTTTAGTCTCCTTTTTGGACTATGTTTAACTCTAATTTAGATCTGATAAAGTCTGGGTTTAGACCTGGTGTGACTCGAAAGGCAAACAGTTTTAGTTGGTACTTTGTGTGAGAAGTTTGGGAACTACTGTGGCTTTGAAAAAGTTTAACACTGCAGCTGTAACTGCACCAACAACACAATCAGGACCAGCAACACAATGTAATAATAATATTTAGCTTTTAATTGTTTATCGATATGGCAACAATCCTAATTTGTCATCATTCTGAAACCTGAGCATGTATCAAATTTCAAAATTTTTTAACACTATAGTTGTTGATTTAAGTTTATGACAAAACAATGAGCAACAATGTATGATTCTGTAAAACTGAAGTTTAGTCTAAACTGTTTATAAGTCCTATTCACACAGGATAAGTACAACATGGGGACTTCTTGTAATTAGCAAATTACCGCCCCACCTCTGTGTTACTTGCAGCACATTTGCACGGTATAAGCGAGGTCCGTAAATTACTCTATTTTACTAACACTGACAGAGAGATCGAAGGAAAAAAGAACACACAAAAAATGATAAAAAAAAGGCTCGAAATTAAAACAAGAAACACTGAGATGCAGATTCACACGGGACTAGTATTACCACCGGACGTCCGTGTTTGATGTAATATAGTAGGTAATTTGCGGTGGAATTTTAACTTTACAAATACAACATGGAGCATTCGCACGGGATTCAGATCTCAGGCATCCTCCACAGTTATTACAAATCACCAAAGGTCCACAGGTAAAACTAATCTCATAAACTCAAATACAATTTTAGGCAATGTTTTGATATATTGTCTGCCCCCATTTACGATTAAATACAATACAGCTCGTCTTGTTTTTTTTTTTATTAAATTTTTTTAATGGTACTCTTTATGTGACGTCTTTGAGTGTTTAGAAGAGTGTTTTAAGTCTATAAATAAAAGATGTGTGTAAAATCCCTCAGTCGTCCAATTTCCAATCCAATTTGTCGAGTGGACAAAAGTTTATTTGGTCGTTTTGCAGCTCACCCAAACTGCTTCTTCAGTTCTGGTCAAAATGCTGTTGTACACTACACTGAGACTACTCTGAAACTAAAAGACCTACTTGTTTACAGTTTCTGTTAGTTAGCTAGGCATATAAATAAAATGTATTATGACATTTAAAGGTCTTATATTACACAAAATTGACTCTTGTTGTTGTAATGTTGTTACCTCCTCAAAAACAAACCTGGAGTTGTGTTTTGTTTCATTCACACACGTTTGAGTAATCTTTTATTATTAGTCTGTCTATATTTCCAAACCTCAAAATGCTCTGGTCCACTTTGTGATGTCATGAAGCGGTAGTGTTCAAGTTAACAGCTATACCTTTACGTCTAATTAAGTATTTTCTGTTTGAGAGAAGAATTCAGGCTAAATATGCAGGTTTGTGTGTTAAACATGTGTGAATGAAACAAAACACAACTTCAGGTCTAGTTTTTGAGGAGGTTACATTATAACACATCAGAAAATAGCGTAATATTGGCCTTCATAATAATACTACGGTAATACTCACAGTGGGTATACAGAGTTTGCTGAGTGGATTTCCGTCGAGGAGGTAGGACCCATTGAACGTGACGTACTCGTCGTAGTACTGCGGCGGCTGGGGGGTCACGCTGCACAGCACTTTACGCTTCTCCTCGATCTTCTTCCTGATGTGCAGAAACTCGTAGTACGGATTCGCTCTCTCGGTTTGATACGGTTCGATCTCCTCCAGCTTCACCGAATCCACCATGGCCGCCAACGACTGCTGCCCCTTGTCTTTGTCCTGCGGGCTGCAGGACGATTGCGACTGCATCGACACTTTAGGCATTTTTCGCTTCCTCGGATGTTGGACGTTGACGTCGATCTCTTCGTCGGAATTTCGGGTTTTCGTTTTGGCGCCGCTGCAAGAATCCGATTCGCCAGATTGAGGGGAGGAGCTACCAGAAGTGTTACTACTACCACTGCTACTACTACTACTACTACGACTGCTAGTACTACTACTGGCACTACTACTACTACTACTACTACTTGTTTCTGCTACATTTTGGGCTAATTGCTGGTCTTCTGGATTCAGTTGCGTATCGGTTTTATCCTCCGTATTTTCCACTTCCATTGGTTCAACGTTGTCCGGTTTAGATTCACCCGAATTGTCACTACTTGACTGCCCCTCCACTTCGGCGACATCTTGTTGTCTCGTATCTTCGCTTGAAATTTCTTTTTTCTCTTCAATATTTACTGCGGCGTCGATGGGCAAGTTTGATTTCTTATTGTCGTTTATATCAACTTCCATGTCTTCTTCTTGAGCATCGCCGCAAAATCCCGGTAAAGACTCGACCGGTGTGGAGCCAGGAATATTCGCCGTACTTGTGGAGGGCATCGGGCTGGCGGTAGCGGTAGTACTTGTGTCCTGATGTTCTGAAGTCGCTTCTGTGTTGTCTTGGTCGTTTTTCTCACCACTTTCTGGCGTTGTGTCTTTTGACTCAGCGACTTCTACTTTGTCTATGTTGACGACAGCCTCTTTTGTCGTCACGGTTGAATTTTCAGCTGTGCCGGCGTCCATCGTTGTAACTTGGTGATCCTTACAATCCACCTTCTCGACTACGCATTGAACATCTTGTACTGTACTAGGCTCACTGGAGGAAATGGATAATTTGGGTTCAGTAGGATCTTTGATATCTTTACTTTGCGAAACGCTTGCATCCAAATTGCTATCCGGAGCTAAACTCGATTGCTGCGTGTCCGTTTGCGTGTTTAAACTTGCATCGCCTTCCACCGGAGCATCTTTAGGTCCCGTCTCTTCTAACATCACGTTGATTTTTGGGATATTTTCAACCATTTTGCTGTCACTCAAAGCTTCCTCATCCAAAATCGCCCGTAGACATGGGGATTCGTGTCTTACTGGTAGCGCTGTCCGAGAAGCATCTAAAATATTGCTGTTATCGTGTATGGACGGCGATCGTGTTGCTTGAATAACTAGCGAGGATTGTAAGAAACCTGGTTGCGAATCGGACGCGTCCAAATTCATATCTGAATCGTATTCGGTGTGTTTTGGGGTTAATATTGTCGCGTGGCTTGAGTCTTCAGAGCTGGCAACTGATACCATGGACACCGATCTGGACATTAAACGATCGCTACTGTCCGGTCTGGGCGATCTCGTTAAACAATTCTCAACGACGGACATAACTTTTGCGCCGATTGACGGTAGATTTTTACCATCTAGTGACACTGTTCTTTGAGTAGTGTTGTCTTTTAGCCCCTTGCCTTCTTGAGTATCTGAGCTTTTCGATCTCATCAACTCCTTACTCAAACACGATTCCGGTTTTGTCCTGTCTTTCAGTTTAGGCTTCACCGAGTCTCCCATGGCCCTTTGCTTTAGTCTTTCTCTTTCCTTCTGCTTCATTTTTTCCATGTGTTTCCGATGCCACTGCTCGATTTCCTGGTCTTTCAAGCTAAGCATTCGCTCAAAACTTGTCTGCATCAGGTCATCGTTCACCAATCGCTTTTCTTTGGGTTTTGAGTCTTTCTGTGGAGCCGGAGACGCCTTGAGTTTAGCCTTATCTGGATCGTTTTCATTCAGTTTAGGTTTGTTCGGTTTGGCCAGTGGTGTGCGCTCTTTGTGTCGGTCTTTATCCCGGTCCTTATGCCTTTCCAAATCACGATCTCGCTCTCGTCTATCGCGATCTTTTTCTGGCGTCCGCACCACATCCTCCTTTGATTTTCCAGATATTAGCTTCCCGCTTTCCGAAATATAACCCCTTTTTTCTTCCAATAGTAACTTTAAATTCGAACTTGAAGAGTTTGACGAATCTTTTGGCCTATCTCTCCTCTTTTTGTCACACTCTTTATCCTTTGAACGCTCAGATTTGCTGTGATCGCTGCTTTTATCTTGCAGTTTGTTTTTCCTTTCCAAACTGCTGCGATCCTTGTCTCTATGCTCTTTATGTTCACCGATGCTTTCCCTATCTGACCTCTTTTCCATCTTATCCTTGCTTTTCCGGCCGTCGTCGTGCCTTTTAATCGACGACGACGATTTTAATTTCTCATTTTCCTTGTAACTTTTGTCCCTCTCTTTCCAGCGTTCCTCCGAATGTTCAGACTTAACCTTTTTGTCTTTATCTGAATGTTTTTTCTCAATTTTCTCACCGTCTTTTGTTATAATTTTCTTTTCAGATTTTTCACGCTTTTCCGATGTTTCTAGCGACTCCGGATCCACAGTTATGGCCCTCTCCTCTACCTCCTCCTTCAAGTTGGCATCCTCTAAACTTCTCCCTGAAGTATGCCCATCGATTTTATCATCTTTTCTGTCTTTTTTCCTGTCTTTTTCCTCTTTGGGCCTCTTTTCCTTGCTTGTCGAATGCTTTCTCTCCTCTCTTATCGACGGCGAATCAGATGATATTTTCAACTCCTCTCCTTCCTTTTTCACCACGTCTTCAGTGTCGTCGCTTTTGAAGAAGTTCTCTTTCCAAAATTCGCGATCGAACTCCAGATTTCGGTGGCCGTCTTTCCTGGCCTCCTTTAGCTTATGTCTGCTGCCTTCGTATTCTCTTCTATGTTTATCTTTTTCTTTATGTTTCAGTTTGTGCTTTTTTACCACCTTTCCCTCCGTGTCAGTTTTCCTAATCGCTCCATCTGAACTGTCTATACTATTTCCTATGCCTCCATCTTTGTTATACGGACTCGAGTGCCCGTCTTCTCCGTCAGCATTGTCTTTTTGTTGGTGTTTGATTTTTTCCTTATGTTTGCAACCTTTACTAGACCCTTCTGTGCAGTAATCTGAATCAGTGTAGTGGTTGTACTTATCAATATTTTCTTGTTTCAATGGCGTTTGCTTGTCCGTCAAACTGTTATTTAATTTCGGCGATTTTATTGACAAGTGGAAGAGATGGACGGAGGAGTCATCTTTGGGGCTAAACGACATTTTAAATGAATCCTCCTCCCGGATCTTTTCTGTAGTTTCCGATACAGTTGCTAGTGACAGTACGAGTGTTTTGCTATTTTCTTTCCCATCTTCCTGGTTTTCCTTATTCCGACTTTTACTTTTCCGCTTGACTTTCCCCAGTTTTTGATCGTCCTTTTTCGATCTAGACTCACTGTTGTGGGTCTCGGAGTTTTGGGAGCAAGTAGGAGAGTTTCTTTTATCAGGAAGACTGTCCATTTCGTCACTGGATGTGTCCGAACTGCAGTGCACGCGGGATGATTTCTGTTTTTTGGATTTGTCGCCTTTCCCGCTCTGTTTGACGTGGTTTCTTTCCTTCTCCTCCTTCTCGCGTTGCCGTAGCTCGCGCCGCAGGATGTGCCGTTCGTTCAGCGCTTTGCTTAGGTCCTCTTCCTCCTCTTCGTCCTTGAATTCGTATTCGTCGAGTCCTTGGACGTTAGAGTTTGAGGATTTGGGTTTTCCGTCCGAGTCCTTTTCAGTGTCCGAGTCGTCCATGTTGTCGTCCACACTCGAAGGGTTCACGGACGGAGGGTCCTCAGAATCTGCACAGAAAAACAAAATGTATTAAAGCAAGGAACATATCAAGCAAAAGCCTATGACAAAAAAGCCATCTGAGGCGTTGTGTATATTAAAACAATTTTTTGTTGGGATTAAAAAAAGTTAAATGCCTTTTATTATTCTAAAGTGATAATGTCATGTACAAAAATACACACTTTTATCTTAAAACCCTACAAAATGCCCCAATCCTTAACACCTTTTTCACTACTGCAGAGTGAATTGCAAAGCTTTTGTTGCTTCTCATCATTTACAAAATTGGATGGCAACAGTATCAGTCGTTTTGTGCCTCATATGATCCAATTATTTTTATTTGAGTAGCAGTTTCTCTAAATACCTTACTCTTGCATTATTACATGCCAAAAAGAAGATCCAAGAAGATTTAAGAAATCTTAATGTCAACTAAGCAAAAAAATAATCGCTGAGTAGACGAGCAGTAAAATAATTGTTAGATGAAGCCCTTTTCTGAAGTGTCATTACGCATCTCTGTATATAACCAAAAAATATTGATTAAAGTTCTACTGTTCAACGTGTAACAGGAGGACTGATGTGATCTGACAGAACAGCATTGACAGAGTACCTGAGGAGCTGTCTTCAGGCTCAGACAGGGCCAGCTCTCCCTTCAGCAGCTGCTCGAGCTCCTGGGAGTCGGCCACGTCCACCGGCCTCTCTCCCCGTTTGTTCGCCTGAAACGCATTTCCACCATGACGCAGCAGCAGCTTCACAATCTGGACACACACACACACACACAAACAAAGGTTAATATTACAATTTACATCATTATATTCTGTAGCTCCCATCCAAAGCGTCACATAATAACTCACATGGCTCTTTCTTAGTTAAAATGTTGAATGCAGCTTTAATGTACACTTGAAGTTAGAAAAACTCAGTGAAACCTAAGCACTAAAGCCAAAATGATCAGGGAAACTTTTACAGATTTGATGTTCTTTAGGTTTTTTTTTTAGGAACACTGTGGATTCTTCGATATTAAGATTTTAATAGCAAGTATCAGTAGTTCCCAAATGAACTTTTCACTTGTGTAAAAATGTGTTTATCTGGGCTATAAAATCATCTGTGACATGTTTGTTTAAATATGCAGCCAAATTTTAGCCTAACGTCTCTTCTATTTCCATTTTTATTCACTAGTCTGCTCTTAATATCTGGAGAAACCCCTTCGATATGCGATATTTTTTGCACCATAGGCTTTTTTAGACTGATATAAATGGGGGTCATAGCCTACAGAACATATTTTTTCGTAACGCTACTTGAAATTGAGCAGCTCATCTGTCCGTCATTGATTTTAGACACATTTCGTGTATTTGTTGAACACCTGTCCGTTTTCAAGGTTCAAAGGTTTGGCAGCAGCCTGAAAAATGAAGTGAGAAGAATTCACAAAATTTTCCTGGCTGCAGGATTTAACATTGTTGTGTGATTTATTTTTGACTTTGATTTAGTAAAACTCTTTTGACACACAACCAAGAGAAGACAAGAGAAGACAAGAGAATAGTATCAGGTTTGCTTGGGTAAAAATGCGGCTTTAAATATTTCAGGGTTCAAGGTGTCCTATTTGAACATAACATTCCCGTATCATAAAAAGTCATTGATAAATCTGTCAAGTCATCTATAACCATCGCCACGATAACAGTGTACATTCTGTGAAAAGGCTTTGCCAAAGACAAATAAGAGACTTTTGTAGGTTTTCAAAAGGCAGTAAATCAACAGGTCTACAGCTGATCCTTTGTCAGTAAAAGCATGTGGTTTGGAGCAGTTACTGGAGGAAGAAACTTTACTACATTTTGTGTTAAAAGTTTGTCTTGTTTGTGTTTACAAAAGTAATACTGAAGACCATTGTGATAATTATTTGGTTTGGTTTATTACCTATTGTGCGTTATATGTTGCATACACTACCAGTTAAAAGTTTGGACACACTTTCTCATTCATTGTTCTTTTTTATCTTTTTGTTTATTACTTTCTACATTTTAGATACAAATGAAAGACATGAATTACTCACCAAAGAAACAAATAGCTGAATCACTCAACATAGTCATTATATTTTAGATACAAATTCCTCAAAGTAGCGACCCTACAAACCCTTCTTTCAATTAGCTTTTGGATGAAGTTACATGAAACTGTTTTCATTTCACAGCTGTGCCTTGTCAAGGTCAAGAAATGCCAAAAGTGACGTGATAAAAGGGTGGCCATTTTAAAAATTCTATTCTAAAACATGAACTCATAGTTTTGATGCCTTTAGTGACCTACACTGTAAATAATCATGGAAATAAAGAAGAAACAGACATGAAAAAGTGTCCAAACTTGCCTGGTAGTGTATGTATGTTTATGTTTTGTTCTGTTACCAACACCGTCCACCAACTTCTGATGTGGTGACTCATAAATAATAGAGATTCTTTTCCACATGGTTTATAAAAGTACATGTATTTTCTCTTACATCCTTGTGCCCGCTGCTGGAGGCGTCGTGCAGCGGCGTGTCATCGTCCAGACCCTGCGTGTTCACTTCAGCTCCGGCCGCGATCAGCACTTTGGCCACGTCGTAATAACCCAGATTACAGGCTTCATGGAGAGGCGTCCAACCTGGCAACACAAACGGCAAGAGATCAGCATTTGAAAGAGCAGGTAGCACGCTTCTATCGAGTATTCTTTGCCTAACACAAAACATATTTAGATCAGAGCTTTTATTGTCTTGAAAATGCTCTATTCGCCGACAACTACTACTGCACATCACACCAGCTTTGTGAAGTTGTAGTGTATTGTATTGTTGGATTTTGGGGTGAGCACTGGACAGACAGGGCCGTGGAGAGATCTCTAGATTACTCAAACATGCATGGATGACATTTAAAACCTCTTCAGGCACGGTTGTGATGAGGGAACAACGTTATAACATGGCAGAAAGCTCCAAAAAGTCAATTTTGCATACAAGATTGAGCTACTAGGACAAAAATGAGAACAAGAATGCTGGTTAATCTGCTTGTGTGTTTTGGACAAATTACTATGTCAATGCTTGATGATTTTCTTGTCTTGATTTTCGAAGTTTCTGTTGGTTAAATCAACAGTTTTGATAAAGCCTGTGCGGCGACTGCTGTTGTGCTTTTGGGCAGATAAACTGAATTGAAATTGAAAAAGAAAATAGGTTTTAATCGGAGAAAGAGAAACGTTAAATCCACCGTGCACTAAAAGCATTTTGTAATTTTGAAATAAATATTCTTTATATTTTATAATTCACCAAAAATCTGATCATTATCTGATTTCTGTAGCCATCAGATTTTGGAAATGTCATGTAAACAGCTATATCTGAAGAGCCTAATCTGATTTTTTCTATCGATCTATACAGGTTTGGACAAGGAAAATTATGCAAAATGGGCAACCTAATGTGGCAAAGACAAAATGCTAAAAACTGAAAAAAATATTAGAAAATTCATCGTACTTTGTCTTCCAAATACAACAGTTAGTCTAAATAAAATCCATTTATTAATTTACACATGTCACCGGGTGTTTTGGATTATCAGACACAATTGGATGGTGTAGATTTGTAATTTTTTTTGGCCAATGTTTACCCATTGTTCAAACAGATGCTGTCCAGACAAGTTTTAAAAGGACCAATGTTACACTGTTTTGTTTTCTAATCAAAGACAAAGCTGGAGTTGTGTTTTGTTTAATTCACACATGTTTAACACACAAATGCTGCAGATTTAGGATGAGTTCTGTGCTCAAACCGAAAACATTATGATCCACTTTATGATGAGATTAAGTGGTGATACAGAAAGTGCTCAACTGTGTTTTAAACTCCACATTTTCACTAGAATCATTTGGATGATTTCAGCTCTGGAATTGCCAATCTCTAGTAAACAAAAAATGTAGCTGTTAACAACTGCTTCGTGAAATCACAAGGGGGAACAGAGCATTTTGAGGTTTGGACATGTACATATCCTAGTAATCCAGGATTATTCAAACACGAATGAAACAAAACACAACTCCAGGTCTGTTTTTGATAAGTTAAGAACGTTCTAACATGCCTTTAAAGCTCACAATAATACATTTTGAGTAATACGGGACTTTTAACACAGTTCTGCCCCTGTAGGCTCCTCTACCTGCGAAGTCCTTCACGTTGACGTCCGCTCCCAGGCTGATGAGCTCTTTGACCTGTTTGGCGTCTCCTCTGATGGCCGCCATGTGCAGCGGCGTCTCTCCGCGCTCGTTCCTCTTGTTCACTTTGTCCTTCTGCCGAGAGGGGGGCACCTTCTTCTGCACCGGGGGAGTCTGCGAGGGGTGGCTGGGCGTCGAGTCTGGAGGAGGATCAAAACACAAGAAATCAACAAACGAAAAGGAATATTACAATAATGATTCAGATAACACATTGATAATAATAATAAAAAAACACAATTCAGGCAGTAGTGCGTCATTTTGAACCTAAAATAATAGTACGGGCAAAGGTTTTGAAGTGGAATATTAAAAGGAGGCCTATTCTCCATCTCTATTCTCTGTCGCTCCTTACAAAACGGCGCGCTGTCTCTTTAAGAAGTCTCTGAATGAACTGTACAGTACAGTTAACCCAGTTCTCATTCAATGCCATTGTTTACAAACTCTGGAGCACGTCAGGACTTGTACTGACACAAAACACAATTACTCAGTGAACTCATCTCCAGGAAGTACAGTTTATTTAGACCAAAAAAAACCCACAGAGCATTAACAGGCTGTGTTGAACTGGTTTTACTGGAAAGTCCAAATTCGCCTTTTCATTTGTATCCACTGATCACTGGTTACAAAATGATGAAGCTTTATAATGTGTTCTCACAATATAAATCAAAAAGCATTTACAAACAATTGAAAAGCCCTGGAATTTATCAATAAATTATATCAAAGATCAATAAAAGAGTATAAAAATTAGAAGGAGGCAATTACAACATTAGATGTGATATTTTATTTTATTGGTTTTATTTAAATGCTAATTGGCATGACAACTAGGGCTGTCGCGGTTCAAGAATTTTCCTTGCAGTAACTTTACGTGCTGCATCGTGGTGTGTGCGGGGCGTGTGTTGTAGCACAGAGGTCCATAATACTACCTGTACAGTGGGGATGTATTTGAAAAATATCTTTATAAAATCTCAGCCAGGCCTAAGTGACAGACACCTGCATATACATGTGTAATGTAGTTTTAAAGGCGAGTTACAAGAATATTTTATTAGGATCCTTCAGTGACACGCAAAGCCCATACACCCACGATAAACCCACACAGAGGCGCCTGTACACACTGTGCGTACCATAAATGTCCCCACTGAATCTAAATGGATGTCCCAAGTTAGGCCTGGAGGAGTGCCACAGTGATTATTGACCCAACTATTCACCAAACCCACAGTTAAGTGGGTTAACCGCGGGTTAACCATTGACTTTTGTATTTACATGTGTTACCTGCACAAAGGGGACAACTTTACTCCTTAACCAATTATCACCAAATGAAAACCGTGAGACGAGAAAAAGGCGCATGGTGTCCTGAATAGTTTTATGACAACTCATTGAAACTACACAAACTACGGCCTGCTGCAGTGGAGTGTCCCTGTATTTGAACCCATTTGCTCAGAGCCACGTAAACATAAATTGGTTCATAGTAGAAAAGTAAAATTCTGCGCGGCGCGAGCATGGAGCCTCATTAAGATGCAAAAAGTGTTTACTGCAGTCAGTGGTGTGACTGATCGTACTGCGGTATTGCAATATTGCGATTACTGCGACAGCCATAATGACAACAGTGACCATTTTCCATCCCTCTGAAACTTATTGACAGCTTTAAGATTAGCTGTGGGCCCCTAAAATCATACCATTTACGTAACAAAAAGGATTAAAATTTTATCTATATATTTATATATGTACATTTACTGCACCACCTGATATCTATATTTGTACAGTAACAAATAAAAACTGTGTCAAATATTTAACAATGGTAAAAACTGCAACCTGAGGAAGAGTTCAAACTTTGGAGTAACACATTTCACAATTTTTCACTATAAATTGTGATTTTTGTTTTATCACCCACTACAAAACTTCAAAAGGCGCTGTATCTGATTTTTTTTTTTTACTATTTAAAAACGCTTTTCTCAAATTTTTCAAGAGATGTTTTGCGATCGTCGTAAATCTAACAACTAGCATGCCAATCACACACACTCCCTGTTTTTCTGTCAGTAGACGCCATTACCTGGGCTGTTGGCGGTCATCTGCATGAGGAGAGCCATCTGCTTCCTCTCGGACAGTGGATACCCAAACAACAGGTTAGAAGACTGCGACTTTCTGCCTCCAGACTCCTTCTTCACTCGCTTCTTATCAGGTCCATCTTTATCTGAAACAAAACCGAGCACAAATCAGCATTTTTAGTTAGAAGAGTTTTATTTCTGTGTGTGAATATACTGGTATTTTGGTGTGAGAGGAGGAGGTTGGTTTTCCTCTTCGCCTTGTATCTGTCGAGATCTCCGTGAACAGATGACAAGCTGAAGTGTCCAAAAAGGGAAACTAAAGCCATGTTTTCACTGAGAGGTGTGGTACAGAGCGGTTTAGTTCATGACACTTTGGGGCATCAATGAAAAGAATCTCAGCTCAGCAAGCACTGTGAAAGTTGCGTTTCTTGAATTTGGATTTCTGGAAGTCAGAGTTTTGAACTTCTGATTATGGTTGCCAATTTGAGGACTTTTGTTCCTAATTTAATCCTAAAATTGGCTGGTTACGACACTAAAACAGCATAATTCTGAAACCTATACAGAGTTTTGTTGTTAGTTTTTTTCTCCTCTATTTTTGAAAATAATAGCTCTTCTAAATAGCTAAACTAAAAAAAAACGTGGAACAGACATGGGCAAAGAGAGCAAGTCACTATGTCTCATAATGGTTAGGCTTGTGTTTATCCAGTGATGTTTAAATGGCAACTCTTAACATTTGTGTGTTCGCTTATGGAAAAATCTCTGTTTAGTTTTACTTGTGTCAGCTCATGTGTGTCTAATGATACAAGGAACTGGGACTAAAACAAACTTGACCAGAGCCTCTTAAACTCTATAAGTGTGTGATGTGAAGTTAAATGTGCACTCACTGTCTCATTGAAGTTGTGTTTTGTTTCACTCACAAATCTTTAAGTCCTGTTCCACCTTGTGATGTCACGTGGTAAATGGACAGAGTGTGTTGTACTGAATAGTAATATTACAGGTAAGACAATAATACAGTGCCCTCCACCCAACCACCCCCAAAAAAAAAAAAAAAAAAAAAGAAATAAAAAAAAGTAAATAAAAATAATGATTAAGTAAATAAAATTGATACAAGTAGTAACAGATAATTTACATAGTATATTTAATTTGATACAAAAATAAATTAATAATAATATTTTTTTATTATTATTATTATTATTATTATTATTATTATTATTATTATTATTATGTAACACTTTATAATAACTACGGCTTATTTAGCCTTAATAAAGCATGAACAAAGACTTAATAATGAACAAAGACTTAAATAGTTACTAAGAGTGACTCATGATTAATTAATTACTACCTTAAATAGCACTTAACTTGCACTTAATTTGCCTGTGCTGTAAATAGTTACTCATAATTATTTCATACTTAATTACTCATGAACTAACCATTTGTGTGTGCATTTGTAAATGCATATTTAAGTACAAATTTGAGCATTTATTAATGATTAGTAAGCTATGAGAGAATGATTTCCTAATAATGCAATGCAATGATAATTCAGGCAGCTACTATCTGTAAGTTAAGTTTTTTTGAGAGCTTTTCTAAAGTAGGGACGCTGTGTTTTTAAAGTCCATGCACCTCCTTCACTAGAATAATTTGCATAATTTCAGCCCTAGAATTCACAATCCAGACAATTCTACAGAACTAAAACGGTAAAAGGTCGCTGTTAACTTGAAAACTACCACTCTACACTGACATCACAAGGTGGAACAGGGCATTTTGAGCTTCGGAGATACAGACAGACTAATAATAAAGCATTACTGAAACATGTGAATGAAACAAAACACAACTGCAGGTATGTTTTAGAAGAGGCAACATTATAAAATGACTTAAAGCTCATAGGAAATAATTTTGTGTTGTGTAATAGAGGATCTTCAATGCCATACTGTGGAACATTTCAGAGAAAGCAATGGCATTTCCATAGGTACAGGTAGAAATTTCGAACAAGCTTCACGACAATTTGAAGTTGTTAATTGACTTGTCCCGTACCAAACCTCCTCAGTGGAAACCTCATTCTCAGAAGCCAGCCAAGTACAAAATTAAACTAGACTTTTCGGGACGGTCCATCTACCCCTCCCCAACTCAGTGTCAGCGTTTAAAAACAAAAACAACCAAAACACATGCTTGAGCTAGGACGAGGGGCAGCGGATGCAAAGGGCGGGGGGCGATATAAGGGGGGTATATATATATATCAAAAAACACACGTGCAAAAGTGCCTACCATCTCCGTTAGGACAGTAGGGGTGTACTGTTTAGCACTGTGGGGTGTGGGTGGTTTAAACAGGGCGGGGCGCAGAGAGGGGGTTACCTGAGTACATCCTCCAGGGCTCTGTAGAAACGCCCGGCTCTGATTCGTCTACAGAGCAAAAGCAGAAGGAGCAGGAGAGGCAGCGTCACTCACACAGACACTCGCCACAACAACAACAACAACAACAACAAGAACGCTTTAGGCCTGTCACAATCGCCAGCGGTAAAGGGCCCGTATCACGCTATTTTCTGAGCTGTTATAATGTTTCCTCATCAAAAACAGACCTGGAGTTGTGTTTGGTTTCGTTCACACATGTTTAACACACAAACCCTGTAAATTTAGGGCCTGCTTACACGTAAAAACAACAAAATATTTTATCAGAAGTGCCTCTCGTTTACTCAGTGACCGCGTTTTTGGAGCTTAAAAACGCAAAAATCTAAAACGACCCTCCAGAGTGGAAAAGTTAAATACAGACAAACAGAAAACACATTTTTAAATGTATTGTTTGTTTTTAAAGCACTTCGTGGACTGGCCCCAACGTACATTTCAGACCTCATTGTTCCCTACACTCCCTCCGCGTGCTCTGAAGTCTGAGAGCCAAGTCCAACTTATCGTTCCAAAAACAAGATACAAAGGCAATTTTTCTTCTTGATTCTTTTAAGTCTTGTTTAAAAACACACTTTTACTCACTGGCTTTTAACACAGCGTGAGAATTGTGTGGTCCTCTGACTGCTTATTGATTTGTATTTGCCAATTTTTCTATTTGTTATTTGAGTTTTTTTAAGTTCTTTTTTTACTTATTTATTTATCTTATGCTTTATTTTATTTTATGTGTTCATTTATATTATGCCTTCTCTGTGCAGCACTTTGGAGACTTTGTGTTGGTAAAATGTGCAGTACAAATAAAGCTGGACTGGATTTTAAACTCCATACACCTTCAGTAGAATCATTTAGACAATTTCAGCACTTGGACTGCCGATCTCGACTTGAATTAAAGGTAAAAAGGTAGCTGTTAACTTGAAAACTTAGGCTACGTTTATATTATGACGGTCTGAACAGAAGATGCAAAAGTGGAGTCGCGTCTTCACTTTTAATTCCACGTTTAAACGAGCGTTTTCGGGAGGAAATCTGTGTACAGACGGTGAAGCAAAAGTGTGTGGAATTCGACTGGGTTTGCATGCCAGGTGGCTCGGTGGTGATGTATGTGACGTAAACGTGTACGCGACGTGAGCAGATCTGACCAGAGTTTTGCGTCTTGGGCAGTGTAGATGGAAACGCTACGGCGGAGCATTTTGAACTTTTCCACTCTGGAGGGTGGTTTCAGATTTTTGCGTTTTTAAGCCCCAAAAACGCCGTCATGGTCTAAACGAAAGGCACTTCCGATAAAATATTCTGTCGTATTTTTCCTGCAAGCGTTCTCATGTAAACAGGCCCTAAAGCTTCATTACATCACAAGGTGGAACAGAGCATTCTGAAATTTGGAGATCTAGACAGACTGATAATAAAGTGTTACTCAAACATGTGTGAATGAAACAAAACACAACTCCAGGTTTGTTTTTGATGAGATAACATTATAACAAGGCTTAAACCTCACAAGAGTCAGTTTTGACTCTTTAGAACATTTAAAAGAGTCAACAGCCCGTGGTAAAAGGGATCATTTGAGCTTTTACAGTTTTACAAAGTGTGAAAACAAGAACTAGTTCATTTTTAAAACAGTTTGCAGTGGTCCAAAGTTACTCCTCACTTACCTTACGCATTTCGAGCACCCCAAAATATTTGAAACCATTACCGTTTGTGTCAAATGTAAGACGTTTGGCCAATTTTCTTGTTTTTCTTCTAATATTGATTGCATTTTGTACTGCCAAAGTATGCTAATCCTAATACACCCATTTTCTATGATAACATGGATTTTTTCCCCCATATCTGAAACACAATAACACTGTAATGAATAAAAATCACATAAAGCTGCATTTTTACTCATTTATAATTAGACACTATAAACAAAGCCAGGCTGCAGTTCATATTTTGGTACTAAACAGCAATTTGTTTCATCCCTACTGACCACCAGAGGGCAGTGCTCAAAACACAGAACGCACTGAACGCTTCCCTCAGAGCAGCGTATTTATTTACATCTGTCATTTTTGTTGTCCACTGATGCAAACTGAAGCCAAAGTTAAGAACACGTGTATTGCTCTTGACTATTAACGTTATTACAGAAGAATAAATAAGTAGTAAGACGATTGTGACAGGCCTAGAACAGCACTTGATAGAAACAGAGTGATGAGGCCAATGAGATGGTCACTGGAAAGCCACGGACACGACACTTGTGTACATCGGGGCTGCTCACAAACCGAGCTTAAAAACGTATCAGAATCAAAGTAAAACTGCAAATGGATCTGTTTTAGTTGACAGAAAGCAAAACCGAGATACAGCGTCTTGTTTAGAAAAATAAACATCCCTGTGAGCTTATATATTTTCAAAAAAGCAACTTGTATTCAAAGTTTAGCAGGTTTAGGTTCAAAGTCACCTCAAATTTATCTAATTGCAATCCTAATAATGACAATAATTATTAGCAAAAAACAAATAATCCAGCCCTTAGTACAAGCAACAGATAAATTGAAATAAAAATCATAAAATACACTGTATAATTCATCAAAAACATGACTTTTAAAATAAGAATAACAAGGATAAAGGTATAAACGTTGGTGGATCTAAATAACACAACTAAAAATGTACGCTTTTCTTGTTTTAGACCTTAAATGAGTCGGAACAATGTAGATCCAGAGCAAATGTGGAACTTCAGCAGATTCTAAATGAAGGGCTGTTTTGTGTATTCACAGCAGAACCACATATTAAAATGATTACATGTAATCTCTAAATCATCGAAACTCCTGCTAAAAAATGGCATGTCTCAGAGTAGAGCAGAAACGCCACAAACGAAGACTTTCTTATTTGAAACGACTGTATGTGTGTAAAGGCGTTTTAATATTTTGAGATAAAAAGATCATGGGTAGAAATATCTTCAAAACTAGTCTCTTAAAATGTAAAAAAATGAGTAAAATACAAATAAATTCAGCTCCAAAGCAGAATTTTAAAAAGGCATCTATTAACTTAAAGTGCATATGACAGGATTTCTTCTTTTTCTAATCATGATTTAGTTTGGTGGGATAATACCTGTGGTCAATATTTATCATACCAGTTTTCTATCGTTAAGTAGAAGTTTGTGGGGAAAAAAAAATTTAGAAGCAAAGTCCAAAAATTACAGGAGGAGCTATAAAACTAAATCCCTCTACCAATGTCACAAACACAGGAAATTCCATCTGAACCCAGAGACAGTTTACGAGCAACGAAGGCATTTTTCTGACAGTTTATGGATCGTTTTAATAAAATAAAGGTGTTGTCATCTATTTTAATTTGCCAGATCATAACTATCGTGTCTATTTAGATTTAGGCTTTCGTCCCTGTAACACAACTGGTATTACCTCTGCAGAACGTCACATCTGCTGCCCGTATCCAACAAGAGAAAAGTGAAATTATAAACTTTGAAAAGATGAAAAAAACTAGACAAAATCAGGCAAATTTTATAACGTAATTTAAGATTTTTTTTAAACCTTTATCTTAAATAATAATAATGAAAAAGTCCTCAGCCTGTCATATGCACTTTAAACATCTTTTCTTACTCTTAGAAGATAAAACACTCCCTTATGCTTGGACCAGAGAACAGGATCTTAAAAAGTCAGAAAATATTAAAACAGGCTGAATAATTTTGCCTAATCTACCCAAATTCCAATTTCCAGACAGGAAACTTGTTACCCAAAGTAACTGAATTGCAAGTAAGCATGAAATCGACCACAGTCATAGCATTATGTGAGTCAGTATCCAGCAGAGGGCGCTGTGAGTGTGTGGCAGAGGGCCAGCAGCGGAGCACCAGGCCCAGGGGGACAGAGGCGTACCTGTGTCCGAGTCGCGCTCCTCTCCTCGGGGCTCGGCGCGGGGCTCGGAGGGGGGCGGGCTGGAGCTAAAGGAGAGTTTGCGTTTCATGGAGGACTTGGCTTTGGCCTCCTTCCCCAGTAACTCGCTCCGGTCCAGCTTCGGAGTCTTGGTGAAAGGGGACAACTTGTCTTTACTCTGTCAAAAACACAAGAGAAACATGGGTCAAATAATATGAAAGTTAAAATAATTGTTGGGTTTCAGATGACATCACAACAATCTATAGGCCAATAATATTTATTACAGATGGTCGAGTCCTGGATGGGGCAGCGAATTATCGATTGAATTGAGAACAGCTTCTCATTTGCACTGATGACTGGCCAAGACAGACCAGAAAACATCACAAGAAGAAGAATACACACACTCACTCAGCAATCATAATATGAAACACACTGCATATTTGTTTGTTTCTCCGTTTTTCACAAACTCTTAGATTTAGGGGTGTAATGGTACAAAAAAATCAGTTCATTTTCAGAAGAATGGGAACAAAATATTAAACAATTTGCTTGTTGTTTATTTGTGTGTTTATTAAACCAACAATTTGTTTTAACATTTTTCAAACGAGACAATAAAATAAATGCAAAGTGCTGCTTGATAATACTAATAAGTTAAATAAAATATTCTCAACTAAGCAACAAATGTATGAAAAATAAATTCCTTGTAAACAGTAAACAAAACTTTTCAAAAAGTAAAGCGCTGCACTAACAGTTCCAGGATGAAGTTTTACTCAATCTTCATATTTTTGGCCAGAAAAACCAACTTGTCCACATTGTCCAAGTGCAGATCTGCTGGCTTTGGGGAAGCGGAGATTCCGTGCTGGCAAATTCACTCACATGATTTCCAAAGAGTGTATATCGCCAAAACATTTAAAATAGTCATGAAGACGATATGTTGCCCATCTCTGGCTAAAAACTAAAATCAGTTCATTCTTTAACATTCTTATATTGTATTTGAGAAAATGTAAACCACCTTAAATTACATGTGCACAGACATCTAATTGATATTGCAGAATAATCCTGTTTTGCAAGTAAAGTCAGGGGTAAACTTGATTCATAATAATGCTTGATTCCACAATTTTTCAAAATCTTTACTATTAAAAACCTGAATTAAATGGATTAATTACCCAGCCCTACCCACCCCTGTACTGTATCTAAATAGTTATGTTGTTTTGTTATTCTGTCAGTAGCATAAAGTAGTTTCAATATTTTCGTTTATCACAATATTTCCTGCTTTTCAAAACTGGTTCTGGTGACAGGTCTGTGAGTTGTGTAAATAAAATGATGCTTAGAGGTGGATCAACACCAAAATATTGAGATTTCAGTTGTGACTCAAGTATCAAAAAGTGTCAGTTGTCTTGTTTTTAAATCAAATATTAAGTGACGTTTCAAAATATCTGTTGCCAAACATGCAGAAGCTGAACCTGAAGCCGAACAGCGGCAGTGACTTGGTAATATTTTAGTAGGTGGTGTGCTGTAAATGAAAAAGGTTGAGAGACGGGAGCTGTATAAACCCGAGTAGGCGTGCAGCTGTGATGTAGCACAAATGTGATTGTGGGCCTGTTTTTTGGTGCAGTGAGATTCGTGTTTTTGGCCTGGGCTGAAGTGTCTGAGGAGTGGAGCTCTTTGATCTTTAGTGAAGCTCCGAGCACCAGTGAGGAAAATGAGTCCAGCAGATTCCACAGGACAGGGCCACGCACTCAAATGCGGCATGAAAACACTGCAGACGTGTGTGGACGGGACACTTCTGTATGATCAATGCACAGGAAATGTGGAGATGAAGGGCAAAGCAACACAATAGGGCACTCTGTTTACATATTACTTTCTTTAAACTAAATATGGTCACTCATGGACACATGTTGATCATTAGAGAAATAAAATAAAGATATTCTCATGCAAAATTGACTTTTTGGAGCTTTCTGACATGTTATAAAGTTGTTTCCTCATCAGAAACATGCCTGAAGAGGTTTTAGACTGTCATCCATGTGCATGTTTGAGTAAACTCCCCCAGATTCTGTCCAGTGCTCAGCCCACAGGCCTCTACGTCACCCATGCTTCCTCACTCACATCATTTTTCCATAAATGAACGCCAAATATAGCATTTTCAAAACAAGGTAAACATGGTGATCTAAATATGTGTGAGCAGTTAATATCTCATAGAAGTTTCCCACAAGAGCATTCATTCCAGAAAATATTAAGAGATCAAATTAATCAAAGATTGAGCACGTGTGTTTACATTTGGTTTGAACAAAAAAGGTTAGGTGCTGGTTAGTGACTAGGGATGTGCAAAAATATCAAAATATCAATATATCGTCTCCTTTAATGTGATGATACAGTATCGTTATCGTGGGCTGCTGTATCGATATATCACCAAGAGTATTTTTTGCTATATTTTGTTAAAGCGCCACAGTTTTGTTGCTTGTTCAGAGGAAGGAAACTCATTTATGTGACACATTTGACATATTCACTGTTTTGATTATTAAAATGGGCGTTTTTCACATGAACCTTGCAGAAGAAGTGGCTGTGATACTAAAAGTCTTTGTTAAACCATGATTTAGCCTTTATTTTTTACTAAACCGTACCAAATTGATTTGAAATATCTCTTATCGAAATGAAAAGGCACCGTATCGAGATATGTATCGTCAAGCAACTTCTTAATTATACCCAGCATTATTATTAGCTACTGTATCACTTAAGAAGCAAAAAAAAGGAAAAAAGTGAGGCCAAATCTGTGAACTGAACAGCACGATTTACTAATTATATCAAAATCATCTTGTCTCGTTCTCATGGACTTGATCTCATGTCTTGTTCCAGCTCTAATAATAACAACAATAAGAATAATAACAACAACTGACATTGACATAATAAAATGTGATCCTGAGTAACTACTGTATTTTTCCAAAGTAAATTTTAGTAAATAAACACTGTCAAAATGTTAGTAGGCTATGGTTTATACAAACATACTGCAGGACATAAACAACTACTGCTGCTTGCCTACCACCAATTATTATGCTACAAGTCCCTTTGGCACAACAAAACCAAAAAGTCCTCACTTATTCCAGTAATTAGTTTAATATAAAATGCTAAAACAATGCATTTGCACTATTTGGCGACATAATAAAGTTAGCTGGCATGCCGATTCCAAATGAAAAGAAATGAACAAGTGATCCATGCCCTTTTTTTTGTCTCATGTCCAGTGTGGTTTAGTCTTGATGAAATAAACACACGCACATGTCCAGAACAAAGGAGCTCAAACGCTGCCTGCTTCATTATTTGTTTACATTCTTTCTCTTCATTAAATTTGTCGACAGATGACTTAGTCAGAGCGACGCTGCAACGTTACACAAACTGCGAGTGAGCGAGCGCACAGAGCAACGACTTATACTGATCAAAATATGGTCCAATTTTACACAAACTGAGTGAGTCCACAGAGCGAAGAGTTATTCTGATCAAAATATGGTTCAGTGTTACACAAACTGAGTGAGTCCACAGAGCAAAGAGTTAAGGCCTGTTTAAGCGAGAACGCTTGCGGGTAAAAACAACAAAATATTTTATCGGAAGGGTCTTTCGTTTAGACGATGACGGTGTTTTTGGAGCTTAAAAATGCAAAAATCTGAAGCCATCCTCCAGAGTGGAAAAGTTCCGCTGTAGCGTTTCCATCTACACTGCCCAAGACGCAAAACTCTGGTCAGATCTGCTCATGTCGCATACGCGTTTACGTCACGTACATCACCACCAAGCGTCACCAGCTCGCTGCCTGGCATGCAAACCCAATCGAAATCCACAAACTTTTGAGTCACTGTATGCATGCACATTTCCTCCCAAAAACACTCGTCTAAACGTGGAATAAAAAGTGAAGATGCGACGCCACTTTTGCCTCTTCTGTTCAGCCCGTCATCACATAAACGTATCCTTATACTCATCAAAATATGGTCCAGTGTTACATAAACTGAGTGAGCGCACAGAGTAAAGAGTGATACTGATCAAAATACAGTGAATATCAGTGTAGCTGCTCAATCAATTGAATCTCATGGAGGAATCTGATTCCAGCTCTGTACAGATCATAATGTTTTTGTTTTTTTTAACTGGTGGTAATTTCAATAAATGAAACCATTTGGCATTTTTAGAATTTTTTTTTAGATTTTTTGATTTACCACTACAAATAATAACAATGCATAAGTCTTGTATCTTGTATTGTTCTTTTGTAGTCGCTTTACAATTTCATGCATTATACATTTACTCTACACTCTGTGTTGGTAAATAACATTTGCAAGGTGCCCAATCTGTGCCACTGGCCCCTTTAACCAATTCTGTACAAAGATCAGACTTCAAACGTGCCGAGGAGCTGGTTCAGAAATGACTGATATATGAACTGAAATAACACCAGAAGCTCATTTTAGAACATGTTTATGTAGGTCTAAACTAGAAGGTCAGCAGCTTTTGTTTTGTAGAATATTTAGTCGTTTACAGGATTAAAAAAGATGATTAATTTGCTGCTTTGGTATTTGGATTTATTTTCCATTATTCCTGCAGTCCTGTTCTGAATGACGATAAATATAGAGCTGCACTGATCGTTTTAGGACAACGGCTACAATGATCTCTGAATTCCTTCTGTAATTTTCTCAACAGCTCTTATTGACCCTGAGCATCCATACATAAAGCAGCTCCTGTCTGATGAGTCACTGTGATGTAATGCTCGAGTGCCAACGTCCTTTTCCACCAGAGTGCAGGAACAGCAGCGTGCCATGAGGGACTGGCAGCCGTCTATCAAACTGACCCACACATTATTTATTTTTGCTGTTTAATTTAATAATTTGGAGAGGTTTGAGTATATTTGTGAACCCCCAAAAATGACCGATGCAATAAAATCTTCAGTATCAGACATTCACACACAATTTTTCTATAACATAAAGTTTCAGTGAATGGTGTTCCACTGCAAGAAAAAAAAAAACAAGAAAAAGTGTGCGGTCACTGTGACAAAGGATAATCTATTTCTGTCTGGTGTTTAATTGACAGACATTGTGACTAATCAGATGCAATTGTTTTCAAGTTTGGTTGACAGCGCTACGTGTTTTAGTTGTTTTCAGGAGCTCGTGGGTGCAGGTCTCGTGTGTGTTTTAAAGAAGTGAGCAGTGGTTTAAAAAACGCACACATATACATCAACGTGTCTGCAGAGTGTCTGGAAGTTGTTAGGAGTAGAAGATTATAGAAAATTTGTGTTTAACGGTCAATTAGCATATCACGACATCACAATTAAAATCTAAGTGCCAGCTGTATTTATAGAGTATATTATAATTTATATATTTTTTCCTTTGTTTGTATGTTTCGGGACCACACACACAACCAGACAACCACACAAAGTCCAGCTTTTTTAACACAAGTCATAAAACTTCATCATCTTTCATCGTGCAGTCTTACCAATGACTACAACACCAGCTCTCCCTAAAACATTCACACAAAGGCGGCTGAAAAACACTACAGTTGACCTGCTACTGCTGCTACTGCTGTGATGAGATCAGGTCAACGGAAAGGTTACAAAGCCATTTTTAGGTTAAAGGTGAGCAATTGAGATTTTTCTGGATAGATATATAAATTTCCATCTGTCTGTCGCTCAGAGCGTGACAGCAGGTGACCAAAAGAAGTGGACAGTGTGGGTGAGTGGATAACATATCGTCAGAGGGATCAGAACATGACACCTCCTCCAAATATGGGCCATTTTTTTTCTTTAACTTGTATTATTTTAAAGTAAGTCACAATGTACACATAGCAAATGCTGTCAAAACAGTTTTAAGATTGACTGAACTAAAAGGTTTATATAAACACTGCAATTTAAGGTGCTTGAGCGTTCATAGTTCCACTTAGGGGTCTGACTTTCAATGAACAGGAAGGCGAACGTGAAGAAGTGAAAAAAACAATTGGCTGAAGTGATATTTACCTTGTGACTGTCATGTTATTTGAGAAGGGCTTGTTTAACAGCATCATATGAGCCCACTTGTTGTAGTTCTAACTAAGTAATTGCTTTTGTTGTTTAAGTAAAACCTAAATTAAAGCCTAACAAAGCCTCAGACAGAGCAGTGCACACAGTTATCACCACATCGCCAGTGTATCAAGAGTGTATGTTCCTTTACCTTCTTGCCCGTGGGCTGTTTGTCCACCATGGCTCCATCACGGTCGCTCCCGGGTTTGGCCATGGTCCTCCTCCTGACTAGCTGTCACTGCAGACGCTCTGTCGGACCATCATGCACCTGGAGCACAGACACAAGCACAAAGGTTAGATAATCCTACTCATACGTAGGAGTTCATGAAAGTCTGTACATAAAAAAAGGACACAAGGTGGTTCTAGGGCTGCCCGACTATGAAAGGGAGGACCAAGGAAGAGGGAGGAGAAGTGAAGAGGAGGAGTTATCACTGCTTTAGGTGGACCGGATCCTCCGAACCAGCGGTGGAAATTCCAGTCAAAACTACAACTCCCAGAAAACAGACTACAACAAGAACAACACCCTGAGCGCTGAGAATGATTTACACCTTTCAGTCTTTTCATCACAACAGAAGCCAACATAAATAAAGTGACTGTACATGAGTGAAATGGATGTTAAATAAAGAGCTTAGCAGCACACGTACGACCCGGCACACGTACGATCTCTGGAAAGCTTAACATGAACCATCTCCAACGCGATATAATGCTTTTCTCAGTGTGAATGTACACAGCATATCCCAAATACTGCCTTAAACGGAATACGGCTAATAACCGGGATACTGATGTGCGTGTTAACCCACTCAGTGTTTATTCACGGGGGTGAGGGTTAAAGTATCGGTATCTACTGTACTCTTATCGGTTTTCAAAAAAGTGGTATTAGTGCAACCCTACTGGGCTTCAATCATACACAATGAAAATTTCCCCAGATCATACTGGTCTGATACTGAACATTTACATTTTCGGATTTAGTTATTTTTACAAAAGTTCAAAGTTATAGTGAAATTTGCAAATTAAGGCAACAGATTTGGTCTGTTTGATTTAAGAGCTTTGTAAAGGACATTTTAATTACCAATTGTTGATATATATGGTAAAATGGTCACATTTTTTTATAGCGCTTTACAACAAGGAACCATTCACCCATTCACACACACATTCACACACCAGTGTACACAGACACTGTGGGCAAGGTGGGATAAGTGTCTTGCCCAAGGACAGCATTCATCTGTGGGAGCTGGAATCACACCAGCCAACCTGTGGGTTAGTAGATCTGACCGCTCAACCTGTGATGTTTATGTTGAGAGCTGGATTCGAACCACCAACCTTTAGATCAGTGGGCGAATGCTCTACCAACTGAGCTACTGCCCCCCATATATATATTTTTTTGAAGGTTATATGGCTAAAAAGCAACTCTACATTTAACCTGTCCAACTTCCACCTACTATCCTGCCTCACGATTTCATGTGGCAATTTGTATACACAAGTATAAGGTCTCAAATATAACAAAGTAAAAAATAGGGCTGTCAAATGTATTGAAACTTAGATACTAAAACTTGTATCGGAACAAGATACTTACTTGGGCCTTTCCTGAATAGCTTTAGAATGACATGGAGCTCTATCAGAACACTCATAAGAGCACACAGACTAAAGAAAGAGTATTTTATAGTGCGGACTGTCCTTAGCATCAATATAGAGTTTAAAATTTTAGTAGCGTGACAGCACTGGTGAACACATGAAGCAGTATGTGAGACCAAGTGGGGAAATCCAGCATTTTTAGCTCAGAAGAGTGCGTTTATAAGAGAAAATTAAATCTAAATAAAACCCCCATCACCTTCAGAACCTATATTTAACACTTTCTAAATTACAAACAGAGAGTGGGCCATGTTTGAGGAAGTAGCGATCAGTGACTGTGGACTTTTATAGAAGTTTCCGTTGAATAAAAGGGCACAAAGCAGCAGCAGCGTGATTCACTTTGGTGCAGGTCTGATGTCGTCTCGGACAAACAAAAACCTCTACCAAAAATGATGATTAACTTTAGAAGCATGTTTGTGTCTAGCAGCTGGATTTTCAATAAATACACTATGAGCAATCAGAAAAAGTCCAAGGCCTACTCTGATAGAAAGCCACATCCTTAGGCAACTCTAAAACGTGTTACATGGTGAGACCTGGGCATGCCGTTTATGAAGGTTTGTTTTGTTTTATTTTGCAATTTTGCCCACACAAAGAGATAAAGAAATGGTGTTGCAACTACAGTGCCAGGGTAATGAAATCAGACACCAACACATTTGATACTCATTTGAACCTTTTCTGAATAGCTTTAGAATGATCTTGAGCTGTATCAGAACAAGTATAAGAGCACATAGACTAGTACATGCCCATGGATGGACCACTATGGAACCTACCTGGATCACTGAGGGATTACACAAATATAACACCACATGGTAATATAAAAGAAAGTACTAATATTTCTAACTAATAATAATCATATTTTATTGTCAAAAAAAACTTAACGAAGAGTATTGCAAGAACACTACTGGTAAGATTTCAAATATATATCAAATATATATTTTTATGTATTGATACCTGAAAGTTCAATCCAGGCCACTAGAGATTAGGGCTGGGCATCATTAAGAACTTCCCGATACGATACATACCTCAATATATAGGCCACGATACGATACACATCTCGTACAGTGCGATTTGATTCAATAAGATATATTTCAAATCGATTCAACAGTGTTCACTAAAAATTAAGGTTAAACCATGGCTGTGATGCTAAAAGTTTTTGTTAAACTTCTAATTTATGTCTCTTTTTTAATTTTAATCTTTATTATTTATGTTTTGATTTGTTTTTATTATGATTTTAATGTATTTCTTATTCTGTAAAGCACTTTGAATTACTTTGTGCACGAATTGTGCTGTACAAATAAACTTGCCTTGCTTCATGTGCAAAGTTAAGATAAAAGACGCCCATTTTAATCCTCAAAACAGTAAATATGTCAGATAACAGAGTTTCCTTCCACTAAACAAGCAACAAAACTGTAGCGCTGTAACAAAATAATTAGTAAAATATACAAAAAAAATACTCTTGCCAATATATCGATACAGCAGCCCAAGATATCGACACTGTATCATCACATTAAACCAGAGACGAACAATTATTTTTTTCATGGGTTTGGCGAAAAACTAATGAAAATATTGCAGAGCGCCAAAATGCTCAAACTCAATTCTGCGTAATATTAATTGTATTTCTTTATAAAAAGCAGTAAATAACATTGTTTTGGACAAGCTGGTCAGACTGGGAAGAGTTTATGTTATGACCAAGCAATGAAAAACTGAAGCTACCTTACAAAAAATGTCATTTAAAAACACCTCTAAAATAGCAACAATGCAATTTTAGTCCATGCATGCGGTAAAATTCTAAAAAAAAACCCTCAGAGTTAACCAAAGAGGCCTTGGGGCTGTACCCAGGTCTCTCATTAAACGATGAGATATATCGATATTTGAATATTTTTGCACACCCCTACTACAAATAGGCCACAAGGCGTCACAAGATCCTGTGAGATAAAACTGCCACAAGACAACAATATGTGGAATATGATCTAGTGTTTTTATGTGTGTTTACATTAGCCTGGGACAAAATAGGGCATCGCGCTGGTGAGTTACACTTCTTGAAAAGCAGAGCACTACAATGAAAGCAAAACATGGAATAAAATCAATCAGTAATTATGAGGTTTAGTTTATAATTTGACCTCACAATTTACTATAAATCTCGTCTCGTTCTTGTTCTTGGATCAAGAGCACACACTTCTCCAATAGTTTTAATTTTACAAAACAATTCTCTCGAGCCACTCTCAAAAGCACGTGTGTTATCGAACGTGGAGCAGACTTATGGAATAGTTCAGACGACCATATCAAAGCTTGTACTAATTTGTTTCACTTCAAAAAACTATATGAAAATCAAATCTTACAGAAATACTTAAAAGACTAGATACACTGTCTTCACCAAGACTATTAACTAAACACATGCTTTTCTTTAACATTACCTTTTAATATGATCACAAATGATAAATTCTGTTCCTTCTTTGTCATTGTTATTAAATTGTACGAGCATAAACGAAAAAAAAAATCCTCATTCTTATTTTGCTTATTTTGATTCAATTATAACCTTCTTCGTCATTATTATTAGTTTGTATGATCGTAGAATGACCTTTATTTTACTATGAATAAATATTTGTAAAGTACCGTGTTCAGTGTACATAAGAAACCACATCCTTTTTGAAACTATTTGATGAACAAGTGGTGGGTTCATTTACGTTTTTTCCCACTTCCCACTCCTTTTCGAGAAATGTGCAATGTATATATATATATGTATGTATTATGTGTATGATTATTGTTTCTCTCTTGGCATGAACTTGAAATTAAAAAATGAATTTAAAAAAATCACGTGAGTCTGGTCCTTAGTGAATCTCCGACGTGACTGACAGGTGGATTAGCCAATCAGGGACTTGTATCGTCTACCCGTATCAATACAAATACGGCTGCTTATGAGGAAAAAATATATCACAGGAGACTGAAAAAACATTGTGGATTTCTGTAGAATTAATGAGCGAAGCACTAAAATCTGTAAGTTATTTGTAAATGGCAGGTGACCAATGAACTCCTTTGCGTCACATGAGTCACTGGAAAAAAAACAAAAAAAGTAAAGAGATTGGATGAACTATTGGACCATCCAGACGGACAAATGCATTCTTTGTTTTGTTAAGGAGGTATTGTTGATGTACTCGTCACCCCAGTTCCTCAGAACATTGACGTTACGCCCCCCAATTTAAAACTTCACAACAGCAGAGTGAAACCATCATTCCCTGCAAAAAGGTACAGAATAGACTATGCCAAGAATAATAAAAGTTTAGAAATCAAAAGACATTGTGACGTGCCAACTGGAGCAGCGACTGTTCTGGAGGATCATAAACGTTTACCAGGAAAAGCGTTGTTCGCCTCACTGTGACTCACTGCTATATTTATCATCTGGAACAAAACTCAAATACAGAGGGAAAACATGGAATGAGCAGGAATTTTAGAACAAAATCCCACACTAAAGCTATTTTTGTCACAACAAGCTCCCCGTTTACAAACTATATTCTTGACTTTTCCTTCAACCTCTCACTAAAAAACAAGCAGTTATTTCATCTGTGTTTGATCTAAAAACAATCACTATGCTACAACGCGACATTCTGTGTGTGCCCATTCACAGTTTTGATGTCGCCAGTG